TATATTAGATGGATTTAATATTTGATTTCCTTCTCTCTAACAATACATCAAAGCATGAGATGAGTGTTTTAACTATGAAAACAAATGACTGGATAGCCCAAGGCAAGCTGTAGCAATAAATTCTTGAATTCGGTCCGACTGTTCGAATACATTTCTGTTCAGAGTACCGACATTATGTTCAAATTTTCCATCATCATGCTTGAACAAAAGCTGGCTGTACTAATGTTCAGACTCAGAATTTGCTTTTGATTGTATCAATCCATCCCGTAACTCCTTGTATTCCATCTCCCAATTTAGAGAAAAGGTTGAATGAAATGCTAGACTCTGATATTTCTAGTTCGCTGCACTCTTACTCTGTATCAAAAGAAATTGATACAAGAAGGTAAATTTCACTTTGAAAAGACTTAAGACCTTGGAGCATTTGATAATTTTAGGCAAAACGTTAAAGGGATAGTTGAGTTCTGTTTTCATACCGCAAATGCCTTCAAAGTGCATGGTTATTGCTCTTATTCTTATCTTTGACATTTCTAGTGCCCTTTTAGAACCAAAAATTGCTATGAAGGTAATTTTAGACCCCGAAATGTGTAAAATTTAGCCAATACGATCATACCAATTCAGCTCCACTTTCCAAAAAATACGGTGATCGTTAGTTAATTATTCAATTAAAAATAACAATACATGGGCCGGCTGGTTGTGCGTAATATACCCAACACGAAAATGCCATCAAAAAAGCCAACATCGGCATTGGCTGAAATACGACGTAAGAGGCGCTATTTCCTTTTTTCAACGGTTTTTGTCAAATTATCCAATATTTTGTAGTGGTACACAAGTATTAGAAATCGTTATATTTAAGGATATTTCAGCCGTCTCTGAACCGATTTTGATCAAACAAAGATAATTTTGTCATTTAAATTGTATGTTCTTTCAAATTTGACACTCATCTTTTTATTATCTCACAAAAAAATATTTTGTGTAGCGCCCTCTGCAAAAGAACTCAACTATCCCTTTAACCATTGCCAAAAATTCTAAATTCACCTTGATAAAATATATAAAAGATAGGTGTAAAAAAAAAACGTATTGAGAAGCCAGTCTCCAAATTTATAGACAGGAAAATAACCAAGAAAGAAAACACATATCATTCTCCACATAATTACTTTAAATGTCTGTTTTGCATATTCCAAAGCGCAATTATATGAGCACTAGTAGCTACAAAAAGGGAAAAACATTATTTTGCTTGTAACTTTCCTGTACGTATTTTAATAATTACAGGATCAACTTGAGGAACAACAGTCAAAAGAAATATTGACTAGATACTTCAAATATTCAACTGCAAACAATGAGTTTACAAAGAAAATTGAAACATTACACATGTGACATGAGGCAACATCAGAGGGAGGGGTGAATTAAATCCCTCCCACTAAAAATTCACCTATATATTACCTACCTCTGTCGGTTGATAATAATAGTCAGAGAACATGTTTGCTTGTTTTTCAAGTATGAGTACTGGAAAATATGACACAATATACAAAAACGGATACATAAAATGTATTATTTGGTTCTAAAGGCAATTAATAAGGTGCTGAACCACGAGAAGTGTTCGTTACAATTTACACGTAATAATTATAATGACATATTATGAACATCGTCCCTCTTATTAATAACTTTTCTTGTGATGTTCCGGTGTTCCTAACAGTAAACTCTACAATATTATAATTTCCAGGTGATAGAATCTTGCACAGTTTTCATTTATGAACACTATTTGATAAGTCACTCGAAAATATATCTCTCTAGCCGTCATAATAAAAGAAATTTGCTCCGTATGTTACGCCGTTAATACATATCTTTTTACATGTTTGAAAAGACAGAAGAAATGAAAATTAGGAAACCTCGTAGCTTTGAAACTACGACCCGTTTCCAACCGGAAACGTCAACGCTGTTGTCCTTCCTTTTCAAAGTTAAAATAGTCATTTTTGTACGCATGATTCCAAGACAAACGAATGTCACATCAACTTGTCACGGATCAGTTCTTCAAGTCCGTCACAAGAGACAACTAAGGATCGATGGTGCTTCTCTGTTTCATACAGACACTGAACACAACGCTGTTGTCCATCCTTTTCAAAGTTAAAATAGTCATTTTTGTACGCATGATTACAAGGCAAACAAATGTCACATCAACTTGTCACGGATCAGTTCTTCAAATCCGTCACAAGAGACAACTGAGGGTCGATGGTGCTTCTCTGTTTCATACAGACACTGAACATTAAACGAAACTCCTTAAGTCGCCACCAATAGATAATGGAGTTTGCAATCCAATTGACGTTAATCATCATGTCCGAAGCGTTGATTAGACAGTCGTTTTCATGGCCTAGACTCTGTAGGGTCCAGGTTACCCAGGGACAGATCCAGCAAAGGACAGTGGTTCCAAAGACTAGTCCGAAGGTGCGGAGTACTCTCTGGTTCTGGTCCTTGCGTTCTTGGGTGATGCTGCCGCAGCAAGGTACCCCGGCGACGGAACGGTAGATGAAGAGGTAGCAAAGGCCAGTGGCGATGGTGGTCGACCAGGAGAGGGAGAGGAGAGCGACGAAGAGCTTATCGTCGTCAATGGGGGCAATGGACGAAGAGCAGATGAACCCTAATGCCCACGTCACGATACATGTCATGATCAGTCGCGGTGTGGTGATGATGTTCCGAGAGCCAAAGGGGTCCACACGGATGGTGATGAATTGGTAACCGGTTACCAAGACGATGCTTAAAAGTGATACCATGATAGATGTTGCCAACAAAATGACAAGGAACAAATAAGCCTGGAAAGAGAGAAAAATACAGTCTAATAGCGACAAAAACTAAAACGTGCAACCAGTGTAAACAACAGTTTATTTTATTTTTCATTTTATAAATTAAGCCGATGCCATCAAAAAATGAGCTTTAGGTGCTAAAGGTCACAGTTTCAAGGTTTTTCCTTCACGGTTATTTTGTTAATGTTTTTAATTCATTTGTATTGGACTAACCATTTTTTAGTGGTATTGTGTACATAAAGGGAAATTTTAGTAATGAAATTATGAGAATTTTTTGCTTCACATTAATGCATTCCATCTCCATTTCGAAAGAATTAATAGGAAGAAACAAGAGATCAAATAGCTAATTTGATGAGGTAATTGTGGTTGGAATTTCAAACAGAATATGATGTAATTATACATGAGAGACCAATTATCACAGAACTTTGCAGTGTTCAAAAGTGATTTGTAATGACTTCTATTTCGTCAAAATTAACAATCGTACAAATTATGAGGCAGGCTTTTTTGAAAACTGACAAACTGTAGAAGTGTCGTGGTATAGTGGCTATGTCACCAGACTGGATCACATCATTCAAATGATTTCATTTCTTATGCAAAACATAATACAATGAATAATTATATTACAAAAATATGCAATGAATCGACAAATATGATAGAAAAAAGCACGAGAAAAGAGGAACTAACTAGAAGCAGAGCTTGTTGAAGTGTTAGTTCCTCAGATGCTGTTTTACAATACCGGTATAACATGAACAAAGTATGTTTATAAAATCAATAAATAGAAAAAATAGGTAATAGATTCGCGGTTCGAGTCCCACCGCGGCACTAATGTCCTTTGGCAAGACATTAATCTACATTTGCCACTCTTCACCCAGGTGAAGTAAATGGGTACCCGGTAGGAAGAAATCCCTTGCGTTATTTAGCGCTTTATTATGGCAGCTCAGCTACAGCCGGGGTAATAATATAATACTTTGTATAAGCGCAGTAGAGTTTTAGCAGCTGCGCTATATAAATGGACCTATTACCATTTAACTATCACATACTGAAAATGTTTTAATGTCTTAGATGAAATACATGGGTGTGCTATTTGATTGCCAGGATGTGGATAATCTATGTTTGTTATAAGAATTCCAGTGCAATCCAACATGTATTATTGGGGATGTGTTAGAAGTTAAATTGAATTTATTTAAAAAAAAAATGTTTTCCCACTTCCTACTTCACAGGTGGTATATACATGTACAATGTACAAGATATTCATGTAATGTAGTTTTAAAGATACGTGTACTACGGCCCTTTTGCAGCTAAAATCAAATTCTGTAGAACTTTGCAGGAATTATGAATATGTCATGTTCGTTCCATCTGTGAACTTTAAACATTAGCTGTGTCCTAGTATTCAAATTATGCAAGGAAACCCATTTATCTTCTAGACTTCACTGTCAGACGATATTGAGTGACTGACTGACATCATTTATTGTTTTATTTGGTAATAACATAACATGAGCTGTAACAGGTACATGGGCATTTGTCTACATTAATAACCCACCGTACTTGTAATGGCCAAAATTAAACTGATTGAATCTTTGTGCAGCACAAAAAGTTTGACGATTTGGTGAAAGGGTCTGAAAATCAGACTTTTACTTAGGTGATTGCAATCACTTAAGTCGATTCAACAACTAATGGTCGTTATTTTCCCACCAAAAGCCATTTTCAAGCCCTTTCGTTTTGAAGGAAGTTATAAATTAGTATTGTCTTTCAAATGCCGTTTGAATTTAACCTTTTCATTTTTGGCCTGCAAATGGGACATAATACCTTTAACATACATGTACATGAAGCTTGAAAGCCATAGCGTGCGAATATAGCATTTCAAGCAGTTGTATGACCCTCTCCCCCCTCTTCCATGACGAAAATCACCTTTTTATTGTCTTTTTGTGTTCAATATTGATTATTGCTCAATGATCTAAAGACTCCAAGATTATAAAGTGCTTAACAAATATAAAAAAAATAGTATTTCTCAGTATTTCCCGGTGTCTCAGGTTTTTGTCAAAATTTGGTAGCGTCATTTATCAGTAAATACCGGTATGTATCATCCAGTATTTTCCGCTCCGGTATTTAGTGGCCAACCCTGTGTAGTTGGTAACGTATGTTACTGACATCACCAAATCAAATCTCTTCATGGAAAGGCAATAGTTATCGATTGTCTTACCTCATAGGGAGGTTCGAATCCAACGAACCCTTCGAAACATGCCATCACGATGGCACCGCACATATCGGAGAGTACGAGGTTGTAAGGAAAGATATGATGCTGCTTACGAAGTCGACGATGACACGGAATCAAGATGAGCGTGGCGATCATCATCGACATCGCAATTGCCAACGTGACGAGTTTAATGTAATATAAAGGCGTTTTACACGACGGTTCGGACCCATCACCATCGTCGTCGTCGTCCGTCATCGGCGACATCGTAATGTTGGCATCATCGTAGCTCGCGTTGAATGGTGATGAGGTATTCATTGTTCAAAGACGAGTTGAAAGCTGGCAGGGTGTGATGTTGACGAGATCTGTTCTTGAAATGAAGAGAATGAGAATGACGTGGTTTAATCATGAAGAGCGGTTGATGCTGGTCTGGCAGTGAACGTCAAACGTTAATACCACCTTGATTTGTGATGCGCGCTAGCTCGGATTATACGTCTTCGCATCAATATCAGTTCGGGATGATGCGATTGGGTTAGAGGGTGATTGACTGGGCATCGCCAGGTCTGCTTCCTTTTGTTTTTCCGTTTTTCCAATTAGTAACGAAAAAAAGGTTCCATTAATACAAAACGTGTTCTTTATTGAATTCAATTCAATTCAAATGAACATTTATTTTCTTCCATTCAATTTGACAACATATTTGCTCTTGCAAAAGTTTAAGGAACAGATCGTACCAAGTTAGAAATGTCTTCAGAAAATTAGTGTCTGACCAAATTAAATAATTTTTAGGAGGACAATGCAGCTAAATCCATTCCTCTGGTATTTCTAACGCAGACTTGAATGAATGCGTACTGCGGAACAATTATCAACGGAGCGATATCCTATTTTATTTCTTTCAATTATCGTGCACTGTTTTCACCTCGGATGGGATTCACTTAAAGCCCCTCTAAAGTGTTTGGAGCCCCCAAAAAATGAAGACAACATTTTACTTAAATTGTATCATAATTTAAAAGAGGATGTCATTTAAGACAAATTTCTGTAAGGATTTTCAAAACAAATGTGTTTAAAGTCGAAAATTGATGAAAGAATGCAAAATGTAGGTTTATGTATTATTTTATCAATATTTGTCTTCAAACACATTTTCGGGGGAGAAATCTTTGCAGAAGTGTGTTTTAAAATGATATCCTCTTTCACATTACGATACAATGAAAGTGAAATTTTTCCATCACATTTTTGGGGAATTTGGGGCTCCCGACACTTTAGAGGGGACCACGTTTGTTGCTCTTAAATGTATTTATTTACCTTACCAATATAGATTCCCTACATGACATGTGATTGTTTCATATTAACCAATCGCGATTTGAAACTGCCCTTGACCTCGATGATAGGTAATCATTTATATATTTGCTCTTTCCTCTATCAACCTAAGTTTGCCTATAAGCGAGTGTATCTTTATGCATGAGCTCGCCTTTAAGTATTCTAACGCTTCTAATTTCTCTTGAAAAGAATGAGCGTGAGGAGGTGATTGACTGTTTGAGCTATGAATTATGGTAAACAAATTAAACATATTTGGTTTAGATATCATCATATCAAGAAACTGTCATTTTGACCCTTCACCAAACTCTAGAAAAATGATTACTCTCAGATGTAAAAATCCATCTATGACGTCATGAAATAATCCAATAAAACGTTGACATGGCTCGTCAACACTGAACGTTGAAATAATATACTATGTCCAATTTGCAGCCAACGTCAAATTCGTCAAAATTGTATCACGTATGTCCTATCTATGACATTTGAACGTTAGCAGTGTCAGACACTATTGAGTGACTGACTGACTTCTTTTTTTCTTCTTTGGTAATAACATACATAAAATGAGCTGTAAATTAAGGTACATGAGCATAGATCTACATCAATAACCCACTTCTTCTGACTGACTGACATCTTTTTTTCTTTGGTTATATACATACAGGCGCGCTGGAAGCTGTTTGGGATTGGGGGGGGGGGCAAACATTCCAGGGGGCTCACATTCCAGGGGCAGTGACGTAATGAGAAAAAAAATTCGGAAGGGGGGGGGGCAGACAAAAAATCTGCATCACCACCAGTCTTACACGTTACAAGCAGGTCCCGCGGAACGTTTTTCAAAGTGGAGTATTATCGATCAGGAAGAGCGTAAATTGGTGTGGGGTCCAGGGCATGAGCCTCGGCAGGGGGTCAAGGGGCTGAGCCCCCGGAAGCTCGGGGGTTTTAGGTTTTTAATTACGGTTAGATGAGCATCCAGGGGCCCTCTGTAAGGCAATAATTGACGTGTTCCAGGGGGGGGGGGGGAGAGCCCCAAGAAGCTCAGAGGTTTTAATATTTAACTACGGTCAGATGAGCATCCAGGGGCCGTCTTAGGGCCCTTGATGTGCTCCAGGGGGCATGCAGAGACCCTGGAAGCTCTGGGGTTTTAAGCATTTAATTACGGTCAGATGAGCATTTTTTATACCTTATTTGTGACATTGGCAAGTCACCTATTTTTTTCTTCGTCTTTCTTTCTTTTTCTCGTTAACATACTTTTTCATAAAGGAGGGGGGGGGGGGGGCTCGAGCCCAGCCACTTTTCAGACCAAGACATTAAGGCTTCTAAATAAGCGTATTTCGCCTGACTGTAATTTGGGAATTTCTTATTTTCCAACAAACGCATATAAAGGTATGACTTACAAAAAAAATGGAGAAAAAATGCCGGAAAATCATGTCACAACATCAACATTTGTAAATCACTTGTTTCGAATAAGAAATACATCACCCCCCCCCCCCCCCATTAGTACGCCAGCGCTCAGGGGCTCGTGTCTTCTCACCCCTATAACAAAAAAACGGACACGCTTTCCCATTCTCGCACAATATATCAACGATATGCGCGTATCGCTATTATAGAGACCTCCATTGATAAATACCGTATAGGTGGCATGCGCAATGTTTATGAAATTTAATTCCTGTGAACTTTCCTTTTTCTTTGAATGGAATTGTATATGTGATTTAATTCAGGTTTTTATTATTGTTACGTTCTTTTTGATTAAAAATACAAACCATTTTTACTCCTTTACAGTTTTTTTGTTTTTTGTTTTTTGGAGGGGTGGGCGTTTTTATTTTATTTATTTATTTTATTTTTTTTTGGGGGGGGGGCAACTGCCCCTGCCCCCCCCCCACTTCCGGCGCCTATGTATACATAAAATGAGCTGTAACAGGTACATGAACATTTGTCTACATCAATAAACCAAAATGACCAAAATTAAACTGATTGAATCTTTGTGCAGCACAAAACGTACAACCATTCGGTACAAGGTTATAACAATAGACTATTACTAAACTGATTGCAATCAAGTCGATTCGACAACTAATGCTCGTTATTTTCCCACTTAAAGACATTTTCGAGCCCTTTCCTTTTGAGGGAACTTCTAAATTAGTATTATCTTTCAAATGCCGTTGGAATTTAACCTTGTCCTTTTTTCGGCCTGCAAATTGGACATTTAACCAGGAGATGCTGTCTCTACTATGACATTTACTGGCGGATCCAGGGGCATGGCGCATGTGCCTCCCCCGGCAAAACACATTCTGGATAATCAACATGTTATACATATTTTATTCTGGGGGAGGAGGGGGGTCCGGCATTTGAGGGGCGGCAGGGTTCCCTAAATCATGTCATGTTGGCCGGGGAGGGAGCAACTTACAAACAAATTTCAACAAAAAGAATGAAGTAGTGTGGGTCCAGCCACTGAGGGGAACTGGGTGATGGGGAAGGGGGCACCAGACACTAGAAATATTAGGTATTATTATATATATATAAGGCTTCCAAGTGGTACAATAACTCATGGTATTAATATCTATAGTGCAGTACCCGGATGACAGCTCAATAGTGTTTTTGTATAGCTCCACAGCTCTGTTATCCGGGAATTTCAACTATCGATTGATCATCGAATTTTGTTATTTCGCTAGTCAGCCTGATATAGGTAATAGTAATGAAATTGTATGGCTTTGTTTTCGTGTGATACAAGAACATTAAGAATATATTGCTCTCGCTATGACAATATTAGACGAATCGATAGGTCGACAATTCCAATATTCTCGCTTTGACAATATTTGACGAGTCAATAGCTCGACCCACTCGACGAGTCCAATATTGCTATAACGAGAGCAATATATTATAGACTGCGTCACACTCGAAACCATTCAATATTATATAAGTATTATAGAGAGATAGATGAATTGCAAGAGAACAAGGCAAATCGGATAGGTAATGATGTGGGAAGGGTCACGTTGCTCTGGCTTTCTATCTTTCTTAAAAAAAATATTTGTATGGGCCATTCTGCCCCTGTGCCCCCGTAGATACGCAACAGCAGCTAACGATGTACCTGCTTTAGTGGCCACCTGTCTACAAAGACCATATTTTTTGTTTCCCTTAAAAATGGTTTCTCATTGAACCATGAACTCATAAATGAACCTGTCTACAAAGGCCGCTTTTTGTGTCTCCCTTTGGCAGTCGTTATAGACAGGTGTGACTGTATATATATATACAGAAGAGACAACAATAGAAACGCAAATGGAATAAGCCTATATAATTATACACTTTTCGTCAGCAGTATCAGGATTATGAATACCATTATAAATGTCAGCATATTATTGAAATATGGCAATCCTGGACGACCAATCAGAGCAACATAAAAAATCAAAATGTACTTTTTGCAAAGTACGGCCCATTGCTTAACTGCTTATACTATATTATAATGAAATATAAAATACATTTTGATATAAACCAGTTACATGCATCAACCTCATTACATAATTTAATATCCACAAAAATCAAAACAAATTAAAAAACAGTTTTTGCAAAGGACTTGTATATTTGTATTTTAAAACATATTTACCAGAAACAGTAATCCATGTGATGTCCATACCATGCAGTGACAGCTAGCTGAAGAAGAATTAAGCAGAAACGATACATTAAAACGTACCTACATTAGCCGGTTTGACATGCAAAACAGTATAGAGCAATGGTCAAATTCAGCTTTCCAGACAATTTGTCTACCTGTGCTAAGGCCTACAGTAAGTTAACTTTGTTGAGATTAGGTGTAAACTATAACTACGTGCTGAGTAGTAGTATAGTTAGACAGATAGATGGATATAGATCATCTATGATTAATATGACGTCCTATACATAACTATAAGTATCTCCGAAGCAAAAAGTAATGGTAGACTAGACTAGGCTAGTCTTTAAAGGCACACGGTTGAATTTCGTGATATAGGTCTTGTTAGTGAAAGTTATCTTACTCTTTGATTGATAGTCTCTGTAACACCTGTAAGTCCTATACCAGCAAAACCATAATTATTACCCGGCCCAATGGTCAAAATTGGACTGTTTGGGATTGGTCTGCATGGAGTCAATGTGGTGGTTAATTATAACAGTAATATTGTCTCGTATTATCTTAATCTTACCTGCATTGATTTGCACCACCGTTTACAAACGTGTCGTGGCTATACTGATTGCATAAATATTATTACAGGCTAGTCTATCACTGTGAAAGTTATGCCCATTTTATGTAGAAAAAGCAAAACATACCGTCCTGTTCGAGTCGGTCAATCGGCCTACGCACATCCTGCCATCACTTTTTAGGGTCTAAAATGTCAGCTCTAGTTTCATGTCTATATAGTTACCGATTCTACTTTCAGTGCCGTATGAGGGTCCGGACATTGAGGACATCGAGGGGCGTTGCCATCATGCAAGCGGGGAGAGGCGGGGTGGGGGAGGGGGAGGGGAGAGGGGGGGGGGGGGGGGGGGGGGGGGGGGGGGGGGGGGGGGGGAGGTCAGTCTTACTCGGTGTTCGCGTTGAAGCTGAATAGAGTGTTCAATTAATTGTGACGTCATAAATAAACTATTTTTAGGGTTTCCAAATTTGAACTTTATTTTCTGAAAGAGCATCAAAAATAATGTCCAACTGTCGAAAACCAATATGACCATCCGAATAAATATATTTATAATAAGAAATCAGAGCAAAGTAAAAGTGAAATCCTATCGGATGGTCATAAAATATCTCAGCCAATACTTTTTTTCTTTTCTTTATGTGATCTCAGCCAATACTTAACATATTCAACTCCGGGTTTTCGACATAGGGACATTATTTTTGATGCTCTTTCGGAAAATGAAAGTCAATTAAGAAATTCTAAAAATAAATTTGTATGATGTCACGTGCTTCGGTACTCTATTAGGGCTATCGATTAGGTGTCGATGTGAGGTCCTTTTTTCTTCTGTTCACGTAGCTGTCAGCTAGGCTGTCACCCTCTCCCTTTCTTCATCCTTGTTGTTCTCATTTTCTCTCAAGTTGTATCCCCTATGATTATGATTGAGAGGGTCACGGAGGTACATACCCCCTTCTCTCCCCTTATAAGCACCACCTATTACTTTAGCAAACCTGCAATCATAAAATGAAATCATTTCTTTCTTTTTCTGCTCTCATCCAAGGTCACCGGAATAAAATTTGATGGGTCAGGTTGTAAACTAAACTGTTATAAAATAAAGGTCAAGTTACACACTAAGAAATGACACAACTTTGAACCCTAAATATTTCCAAATAGCAGCAGATTGGTAGCCTCGGTAGGGGTGCAACTTTAAACGTGGCAGGGCCGGTGCATTTCAGATCCGTAATTTTGTTAGGGACCATAAACAACTTTTCGTCAGGCTTTGTTTATATTTTAGTTTATAAATAGTAGGAATTACACACTAAGCCCATTTGCATGTGATTTTCTATTACTTTTTTCATCTCTCCCCCTTTCCCTTTTTTCTTCTTTCTTCTTTCTTTTTTTTTTTTACCCCAAAGTTATGTCACTTGTTTGTTTGCTTCTTTGATCGATTATTTGTTGTTTCTTTCTTTCTTTTTCTCACCTGAAAATTGTTTTTCTTTAGTTGTCCTATTTGTAGGCCTTCTGGCCCGAATTCACAAAGCAAGGTTTGAGCTCAGACCAAGGTTTGAGCTCAAACCTACTTTTGTTTCGCCAAACCTCCTTTTGTTCTTTACAAACCAGGTTTGTAAAAAACGCGTAAAACGCGTCATATGACGTACGAAAACCAAGGTTTGTCGACAAACCTGCTTTGTGAATTCGGGCCATAGAGTATAGAGGCATTGAGTGAAATGCAAGGCGTATTCCCGATTTTTCTGCGTGTGCCGCCGTTGTAGGACATGAGCGAGCTAGCGCACCCTCGATCTCGGTCGTAGCGGAGCGCGCGCTCGCAATCAAGTAAATTTCATTTGTACACAAACAATACGTCGGTCCCGCCCATACATTCCTGACGTGGTGAGTAACATAAGAAAAGCTGTTAATGCAATGGAATTCTGTATTTTAATCAAACTCCGTACTGAGCGTGTGAATTTCAAATAGAAGACAGATTAGTAAGAAAGTGGAAAAAAGGTACGGAGTTCTAGGTGAGTGTCGTGATGTCGTGGCTTTGCCTTTGTCGGACTCGACGACGCTTCGCGACTCTTCGATTTTGAGTTTGACTCCGAGTTTTGTGTGATGATTTATTAACTGAGTGAGTCACGTTGATGAATTGAACGATCTTTCAGCCTTTTGTTTTGAATTTAAGAGTGAAACGCACAGTGAGAATAAGACCCTTAAGAGGTGATGAAAGATGAGTGATAATTATGATGATGACTGAATGATAAAGAAGAAATAGCGTACTGAATTAGAATAGACCTAGATCTAGGCCTATGTGAATAATATTATTACACCTGTCGGCTTTCCAAGGTGAAGGTGGTCCACAACAAGAGTTTAAAACTGGGAGCAACTTTACTTTAGAATACCCCACCACAAAAGTTGAAAACAGGCGCGTAGCCAGGGGGGGGGGGGCGGTGGGGGCGGTCGCCCCCCACAAAAATGCCGCCCCCAAAAAAGAGAGAGAAAGAGAAGAAAAAAGTAAGAGGACGTACATGTAGGAAGAAAAAGGGAAAAGGAGTCGAGAACGGTATACGAATCGTCTTCTTTCTCTAATAATTTAATGAAACGTGAAAGCTTCCGCGTAAAGGGGGGGGGGAGGGAACAGAAATCAGACAAGGATTAAGAAGTCGAGAACGGTACTTTGAGTCATCTTTTTTCTCTAATAAATTAATGAAACGTCAAAGCTTTTGCGCTTCGCATGGGAGGGGGACTGAATACAGATAAGGATTAAGATTTAAGAGTCGAGAAAGGTACAACGAATCATCTTCTTTGTCTAATAATACGTCAAAGCTTTCGCGCTTTGCACATGAGGGGCGGACTGAATTCAGACAAGGATTGCGAGTCGAGAAAGGTACAACGAATCGTCTTCTTTCAAAACTCCCCCCTCCCTGCACCCACCCCCCTAGGGAGCAAGCTGCACGCACTCTATAAGTGATTCGCACGCTTTGCGTGCTCACTACTGCCCCCCCTAAAATAAAATCCAGGCTACGTGCTTGGTTGAAAAGATGTTCATAGGTTAACCAATAATTTATCAATGAATCTAAATATAAAGACTTATCCCTAAACCAGAAGAAGAAGAAACCTAAACCAAAATCTAACCGTAAGGCCTAACTTTGACCCTCAGTCAGTTACCCTACTATACTATAGTATAGACTACACAGGCGCGTACGCAGGATTTTTTCAAGGGGGGGGTTTTAACATTTATAAATCGGGCCGAAAATTTCGCAACGACTCAGCCAGCCGCTGAATAAGCGGGGGGGGGGGGGGGTAAGAGGTCACTTTTTTTTGTCCCCAAAAAATCGCAACGACTCAGCCGACCGCTGAATAAGCGGGGGGGGGGGGGGGGGGGGGGGTGTTTGTATGTCCACTTGGAACTACATTAACATGAGATATGATATGTAAATACCACGCCGAGCTAGGCGGAAGGATACATAAATAAAGGGTCTTACAATATGGCTACTAATCAGTAACTACATCGTCTGCCAGACTCTATCATTTCACCGAGTCATATAACATATTACAACATGGTGGCAGCGGTGAAGAAGAATTAAAACACAAAAAGTGACAGACTATATAGATTGAACAAAGGTTCCAGTTTATAATTAGAATCTCACATAAAGACACTTCATGTATATTGGATAATAACCAAAATTTTTTTTTACTTATTCATAGCAACAACAACAACAACAACAACAACAACAAAAAAAGAAAAGGAGAAGAGAGAAATAGCATACAATGATGCTAATGTAAAGAAATGTGCCCAATGGTATCTTTGTTAGATAATCAAGCAACATAACTTTCTTGAATACAGTGTTTTGTGTTGAGTTATTATAAATGTTTTAAGAATATGAGAACAAAGTTGAATGTATGTTCTAAAGTTTCCATAGAGTTGTTCAGTAGCTCTGCCCAGCAAAGATCTTTGTATGAGCAAATTTTAAACAATGTTTTGCTTACAAACTAGTATTACAGTATTTTGGTTGTAAATATATGTAAGTACAATTTACTTCTAAATGGCCAAGTTTGGATTAGCAAATAAGAAGTTGGAAATGTCAATATAGAAGAAAAAAAACTGTATACCGGTAGGCATGTGTTTGCTGATGTATATGTAACCGCATAGTTTTATTTTTTATCATTTGGTTTTAGGTATTCCACGTAATAATCTCTCAAAAAAAGGACTACTTTATGGATCTAAAGTAAGGTTGCGAATTTTGGTTCTTATGAATCATAAACATATTCCTTAATTGTTACTTGGCAATCAGTCGGGCATATGTTAAAGTATTTTTAAGGTATTGGTATTTGCAAAATGTTTGCTTGCAGGTGTTTGGAGTTTCAAGAGGTTTTATGATTAACTGTTATAACTTTTCTTCGTTATTCATTAAAAAAAAAAATCTATTGTGAGGGAGATGTTGTATGTCCACTTGGAACTACATTAACATGAGATATGATATGTAAATACCACGCCGAGCTAGGCGGAAGGATACATAAATAAAGGGTCTTACAATATGGCTACTAATCAGTAACTACATCGTCTGCCAGACTCTATCATTTCACCGAGTCATATAACATAAGGGGGGGGGGGGGGGGGGGGGGGGGGGGGGGGGGGTAAGAGGACACTTTTTTTTTTTTTTTTGGTATCGAAATTTGAAAATTTGACATTTTGCTCCGTTGGGGGGGGGGGGTAAGGTCATCTTTTTGAGGTCAGCCATGGGAATTTAAAAAAAAAAAAAAAAAATCCAAAAGGGGGGGGGGTTTTAGGGGAATTTAGGGGGGGGGGGTTTACACACAAAAAATACCAAAGGGGGGGTTTAACCCCTAAACCCCCCCCCCCCCTGTGTACGCGTCTGAGACTACACTGTATAGGCATTGGAAGTTCATTTACACAATTAATAAAGAAGCTAAAGCTGATGGAGTTGTGTAATTTTGGACCATGTAAATGATGTATACTATACCTAGACGTTATGTGTCCCGAAAGGTTGTGTAATAATGTGTAGACTGACAGTTCATTTAGAACAGCAATTTAAAGAAGTTCACAAGCAATATTTCCAGAGCTACCATTACCAAGTGTCATGCATTATGCGTGACATCATGCATTTAAAAAAAAACGCTATACGTGTGTTATTACAATGTATACCCTCGTCCGCACACCGAGTCATGAAAATGTCACGCATAGCTGATCTTTGAACTTGGCGTCTCTGTATTTCATAAATCTTTAAAGACTGATGTTACAGAGCTACCAAGTATCACGCATTAGGCGTGACATCATGCATTTCGAGGGTCTGAAAATGCTCTTACGCACGACGCGCGCGCTAGATTTTGAAAAAAACGCTATAGGCCTACTCTATACGTGTGTTATACCTCGCACGCGCTCTCGCGCGCCGAATCATTAAAATGTCACGCATTGCCGATCTTTGAACTTGGCGTCTCTGATGTTACTGTTAGACAATATTATATTTATAAAGGACAGTAATCCATGATGGTTAGTGCTATTTGATGAACATTTTCAGTTATATTGAAGGCAAAAGAGACATATTTATTAAATGTTTGTTGAGTGTCCGGACACCCAATCCCCATCAAACTATTACTAAGGGTCTTAGATGCACGCTGGAGCAAATATTTGGAAGCATTTTCAAACACATTTTTTTTTATGGTGAATATTTCATGAATGATTTTGATTGAGAATTAATTAATCTGTTGCCGATTTTCAAACCTGTGCAATGAAAAATTGCAAACCTGTTGCCGTTTTACATGTTTTAGCCCACAGTGGACCACCATACCTGTCACTTGGCTTGGAATTCTTATGCCTTTTAATTGACAAGTTTTGCAAAACGGGTCCTAACGTAAGGCAGAAAAATATGTCTGATTTGAGGAGTTTTCAAAACATATTTTTTCTTTTTAAACAAGCTAATTTCTTCCAAATTTGATAATGTTTTATACCAATCTTGAAATATACTAGTAAAATCTGGATGTACTTGTAATCCGGGATGTGAATAATTATTCGCCAGTACTACATGTATTAGCCTTTAAACAAGGCCACATGCCTGATAGACGCCGAGCGACTAAAAAGAGACTAATCACGAAAACCTGAATGAACGCCAGTGCGAATTGTCCAGACCTGTGGCCTTTATCAATCTGGTTTGGATTTCTTATGTTAACCCTTGTTTCCGACTGGAACTCGCTTCAGAAAACGTAGTGTCCAATCAGCGAACATATCCTAGCACGACGTCAGCATATAGTATCCATCACACACACACACACACAGTAAACTCTACGTAGTGCGAACATGGACCTACATGCCTACTATACGTACGTGCTAAGACCACTGACCACTGACCTCTACATGGAACGAATCACGAACGAAGCCAACTAGGAGATCGCCGTTCTGATTGGTCAATGAATCCAAAGTAGGCGTATTGTCCTACTAATATGTATCTATGAATAATTCATGCGGAGCAGTGAAACACACTTTCCAAAAGGTCTCATGACATTCGTCATTCGGTCGCGCGTTCACTCCGGGTATCTAGACTCATCTCAGCCGCTTAGCCAGAGTCAACGAGGCCTTGTCAAAAGGCTACAGTACTATCAGACTAGAACGTATGAAATATTGGGGAGGACGCTTAAGGATGGTGTCGTTGTATTCTGGTTCACTCACTTGACTCTCAATCAAAGGCCAAGGGTTGAGGTTTGAATCCCAATGTAGCACTTATTTTCTATGGCAAGACATTAATCCATATTTGCCACTCTTCACCCTGGTGTACAGTTCATGTACATCATTGTAAGTTGGTATCTGAGAATTGCTGCCAGGGTATTAGAAATTGCAGGAATCTCAGAAGACAAAAAGTAGCATTGATGCTGATTATTAAATATGTAGTGGATAAGTCATCAGACTGTGAATCACAGGGTCCGCAGTTCGAGTCCCGCCCTGGCACTAATGTCCTTGGGCAAGACATTAATCTACACTTGCCACTCTCCACCCAGGTGTTAAATGGGTACCGGTAGGAAGGAATTCCTTAAATGCTGTGAGCGTCGAAATCGGCAGCCTAGCATATCCAGGTAATGTTGGAGCGCCTTGAGGACCTTGCAAGGTCGATACGTGTGCTATTTAAGAATCCAATATTATTAGGTGGTCTGTCGATGACAGATCACCTATTGATTTCGTTAGAATTTTCTTTCTTTATTCTTTATTTATTTATTTATTTATTTTTATTTCTTCCGTACACTTTTTTGTACACACGTTCACTCGAAATTGACATTGTCAATTTCCTTCAAATTTCTGTCAGTCATCAAGCCCTATGATTTCAAGTCAAATCAACTTTTTCAAGGTCATTAGGTCATCGTGACGTCATCCAGGCGCCATTTTGTAAAAATCAGGTCATTATCATATCTCGATAACGAGTCATCAAAAATGAACCATATTTGGTATACATCAACTTCAGGTCAAAGGTCAACTAAAAATGTTAACAAATTCCGCGCGCGCACCTCGACGCGCACGTACGCGTGCATCAAAATTGTATAATGCTCCGATTCGTTTAAAATTAATTTTGCACACGTTTCAGGCCATTGTAAGCATTTTTAAATGTGCGCGCGTTTCCGCGCGTATCCGCGCGTCCTGGCATTTTGCAACATAGAATCGCCAAATTTTTTCTGTTATCATATTCATTACATTTTTCCAAGCATTTTGATACCTTGTTTACCTTTTTCCGACCAGTAATAACGCAATTAGCGGCTGTCAAAGTTGAACGCACGCGCCGACCTGCGCTATCTGTATCCACAATACATGGGCAAAAACATGCCTATACAAAATTCATTTTAACTCTTCAGAATGGATAGATACCCCCAATTTCTTTCATATTTAAATAGATTATGAGTTGGAGAAATGATTTCATGTCACATTTGACCCTCAATTAACTCATGACGTCATCATAATGGCCTCCGAACTCAATATTTCAATTTGCATATTATGACGTCAGCAGATTTTGAGAAAATTGATTGTATCTCTGTAAATATTGATTAATTTTCTTTCAAATTTTGATATGTTCTACCTGAGAATATTCTCTACAAATGCAGTATCCACGATATTTCATTTTGACAATGGTATCATGGCGTATTTTTGCGATTAAAGGAGGCATGTCAATTTTTCACATTTTGCGTGTATTCTCTATGGGACATGAATTTTTCTCAAAACTGGATTCTACATTCTCGTCTTTCGCGAGCAATATCTCCGTCGTTTTATCTTTGTTGACGCTGAGCTTTGAGTATGTTGTAGCTGAGACAATAAGCTATCACAAGTGTGCCCTTTATTTTTCGATCAGATGCCGGGATCATGCTCATATTTCACTTACAAAGTGGGATTTGAGAATTCTATTTTCCGTTTACGTGTAATCTCTATGGGAAATGTTTTGGTATATCGGTAACGCACTTGACTTCCGACCTCGAGGTCCCTGGTTCGAGTCCGGGCGTCTCCAACAATTTTGTTTCTTCACTTTTTTTTCTTTTTGACCTTTCACTGTACCATCTCCTTTGAATATTAAAACACGTACAATCGCAAATAATGTAATAAACAACCATATTTACTTTATTATTACCCTATTATCACTTGATCCATTACTTTTTGCGTGTAATCTTTATGGGAGATGACTTTTTCTCAAATCTGGATTCTACATTCTTGTCTTTTGCGAGCGATATCGCCGTTATTTTGGCTTGATTTTTGTTGATTTTTGAGTATGTTGTAGCTGAGACTATATCCTATCTAAATGTTCTCTCATTTTTTTCAGTCTGATGTCATCATGGTCTGTTGATGATAATCATCAACATCATCATGATGATGATCATCATCATCATCGTCATCACCATTACTATCAAGATCATCATCATCTTGATCATCATGATGATCATCATTGTTTACATGTCTATATAACTTCTCCTTTCTCAATATAGTAAATATTATAATCTATAAGACTTGAAGACAGACCACCTTAATCGTCCTCGTGACGATTTAAATTCTAGTTATTATTATTATTAATTATGTATCTGCATTGTGATTTTTTTCAGATTTTAAATCTCAACTGATCGTATGATCAAGTATTCAAAGTGAAAGAAGATGGCAGTCGTGGCAGGTGAGTGAACTCATTATTGACCAAAAGTTTAATACATAAAGTAGTACAATTAATTCATCAGTTTTTATGTTGGTTTAATAAGAACATACATCAGCAAGTCTGGTCAGGTTAGGTAAATATGTGCCCCCCCCCCCCCCCAAAAAAAACAGCTCATAGACTGATTTCATAATGCTAAATATTTATCTTCTTCTTACTTTCACAGATCATGTTGAAATGACTGTAACCAGTACAGCTTATTACTGATCAGTTGTATGAAATGGAATTCATATGGAATTGCTCTTTGTTCTGTATTACAGTATGAAAGAAATCTTTTGCCACCACCTTTTAAAGTGAAATTGCTTCTAAGACTTTATGTAGGTCTACATGTACATGTATTTTCACTTTTTTTCATATTTATGTTCTACAGACACACAGAGAGCAGTGAGCGTCCTGCAGGGTCTCCAAGGGAGACTCGTAGCTGCAGGAGAACCAGAGCTAGGTGAACAGTTTGCTTCCATGATAGACCTCCTGGCCAGCCCTTCCTTCAGGCACCTTCTCAACCTTCAGCAGTCAGTACGTGAGCTCAAGCACCACATCGACAATGGTCCTCCGGGTCAAACGGTGGAGGATTTCAGCTTCACCCGCGAAGGACAGCTGGTGGTTCCAGAACAAGAGTCGGACCACGAACCTGAGCAGCCGTACCGCGTCTCCATTGGCCCCCAGCATCCGTATGCCTTTGAGAACAAGATGTTCGAAGGGGACGAGGCAGTCATGATGAAGAGTGTGGTTGCGCCCGTCGCATCGGCTCCAGGTCCTCCCAGCGACGATGACGATGACTCGGAGGACCAGGATGAACTGATGAGGAGCAGGTCAATTCCTCTAGAACAAGCCAACGAAGACCTGGAGCAAGCTCTCAGGGAACTAGCCCTCGGTAGAGAGGTGTTGAGCATTGAATTGTTGAAGTCGGAAGGTCGAGGTCTAGGATTCAGTGTGGTAGGACTCAAGAGTGAGAATCAAGGAGAGCTGGGGATCTTTGTGCAGCAGATACAGAGGAATGGTGTCGCAGCAAGGTGAGTCCATTCAAATGCATCATATATTCTTCAATAAATCACTGTTGTACAATAGAGACCTACGGTGTAGGGTCCCGGAACCAAGAACAGTACATACTGTAGGAAACGTTGATTACATTTGTCTCAAAGTTCTTAGAGCAAGATGTGTCTTTCTATCTTGGTCTATTTTACCATACATGTACTTGCTACCAGAAATGAATTGACTCTGCTAAACATGGCTCTTGCTTAAATTTTTGTTTGGGTTGCCTGCCTTGTGATGTACATGTACATTGTATTTAACCCTGTAAGTTGGAGCTACATGATCGGATCAGATGATCAAATCAGCGGTTTGCCTCTATGCGAACCAGTACGATTAAATTGTATTTAGTACGACAATAAGAGTGAAATACGATCTTAAAATCTTTGAATATACAATTTTTCATCTTTTTTTCAAAAAAACCAAAAACAAACATAAAAACAGCGGAATCGCATAGAAAATAAGGCTGTGCACAACAGTGTAATGAGGTACCCGAGTACACTCCCAGGCTTACAAGCGAATACTCGAGTATTCGGACGCCATGTTTTTTAATAATTTTTTTTAATTTGTTTGATTTTTTTTGATTTTTTAATTTTTTTTTTTTTTTTTTTTTTTTTGCCACCACCATACCACTGGGGCAGTATCTCACATCGCCAAAAACGCATGCAATTTTACTTTGAGTTGCAGTTGAAGGCACCAATTTAATAGTAATGACAGTAAACAATGCCGTTTTAAAAACCAAAGATGGCAGAATAATCCATTTTCCTCCAAGTCCAAATAGAAATCCAGACATTTGGTCCGAGTTTCTGAGTGGTGAGTTTGACAGTGCTTGAGTTGGGAAGCATTTTTACCGACGTCACCATGCCAGCGGCCTCCGCTCACCCAGGCACGGGTAAGCGTCGGCCTGGACAGATTTTTTTTTTTTTTTTTGCGGCCGAATATTTGGGTACTAAAAATCGTACCCGAGTAGTTGTCAACCGTGCGGGTACTCGAGCATTCGACTACACGTCGCAGCCCTAATAGAAACATGCACAAGTAAACCCCCCGCAACCCCAACAAAAACTTTGCTTTACAATTTTCTCATTAAATTTAATGATAGAGCAAACATTTTTCTGAAATTTTAATGGCCTGTGGCCATTGGTAGTGTCAGGTTTTCGTGAAAATCTGATTTTTCTCTCCAAAATTCTATTTTTTAGGATACTCAGTCTGTTTTTTGTGTCAAGAGGTTGGGATCTCTGGGTTTGGCTCCCGATATCTGTATCGGATCGGCAGATTGGGAGGGAAATCTCATGATTTTTTTTTAAAATCTGGCTCCAAACATTGCCCAAATTTGTCAATTTTAAGCACTCTTATACCTAAAATCACTCATACCTTGGAAAATGTTCTCATTCAAAGTTGTTGTAGTCCATGTTTAAAGCTATTTTCATGCCATTATTGTCAACAACAAAAAATTATTGTTAGAAAAAACTGAAAAGATGAAAATTTGAAAGTTTTAGGCTAACAAATACTAAACAAACATGCAAAGCTGGGATTATTTTGTCATTTGGAGTTGCTGTAGACCATGTTTGTTGATATTAAGTGGCTTTTCATGATTTTGAAATGATTATTATTATAGTCTAAAGAGAAGAGGCAAAACATGCCTCCCTATACTATGAACCTCAGAATTGTCATGAAACAATGATTGTAATAATATTTTGTTTTGTGACCAGGCAGCAAAGACTTAAGATGGTCAATACATGTACCGGTACCTTTGAGGCTTGCCTAGTTACTAATTGGTTAGCGTCACCTAGACAACTGCTAATTTCAAGCTCTGCTAAAGAAGGCTAAGCTTACAATATGCTGTACATGTTCACAACACTCGTTTGTGTGGTATTTGCATACATCCCACATACATGTAGGATTCACACACCAGTATGTACAGTACAGTACGTGCCATAACATGATTTATTTCCATCTGTTACCCTCTAACTCGCATATGTACATTGCAAGTGGCCTGCCCTATTAAAGTTAAAACTGATGGTTATAAAGACATGCAATACAGGCTATGCATGCAAAGTCAAAAGAATTACAAAATATGCACGTCTGTATACAGGTCATAATAAAATGCAGCATGACTGTTTCATCTGCTCATGTATGTAGGTAAGACATATTAAATAAGTAAAAATTATGAGTAAAAATTCAATCAAAACCAAGGAAATTTAAAACTGTAATTTAGGTCAAGTCCAAAGATCTAAATTCTTTCTCATGAATGCATTTTAATACCAAAAATTGTACTTGTACATAACAGCACTGGGGGTGGGGGAGGGGCTGGTTGCAAGAACTTTTACTTCTTGAGTATTTTGCAATGATAACAAAAAAAAAAAAAAAAAAATTTTGTACAACCAATTGCCTCTATTGATCATAGGCTATGTTCAATCTATTCTAGACATGCTACAATGTGCTTTGTTAGATTAAATCTTTCTTTTTTTTTTTTTGGGGGGGGGGAGCAAAATTTTAATAACTTAAAGATCATTGGCTGTACCTTACATGTACATTGTACATGTAAGATGAATTAGTAAGGCCTAATGTGAATTGATTGGCCATCAAAGCACAGCTACATGTACCTTTAATCAAATTTTGAGACCAGCATGTCTCACGTTGCATTCTAATTGCAAGTTTGCAACTGCCTGATGTTTATCCCGTTGGGAATAAAAAATAATTTGTTAGTTCCCATGTAAACCATCCCTCCTCTTTTAATTGCTAGTTTGCAAATAAATTACATGGATCCATTAATATTTCTTCTCCTGGGATTATGTATTTGAAATTAGTACACCACGGAAATGTGAACGTGTTTACGCGGTGCTTGTTTATAAGCATGAAGCCCTGTTTTTATAAAACTGATATTAATAACAAATGCTAAATTTCTACGACAAATTATAAATATAAAAATATAAAATGCACTACCGGTAGATAGAAGATGATTGATACCCCAATTAAAATAAATTGAATTAAATTAAATTGATCTAGACTACATATATATACAGGGTATACGAAAATTGCTCAGCTAATCAGTGGCCACATGCATGGATTACACTGATTGCAGAATATTACAACAATTTGATAGTAATTAATAATAAAAACAAGAGTAGACAAGCTGCATGACAATGAATAAAATTGCCATTGACTGTACTAAGCCCCTTAATACTGCATAGTGCATACCGGTACTTAAAACAATCCAGCATGATTGTGTTTTTCTAGAAATCAAATTCCATTACCAGAACTCTAGATTAGCGGTAAAATATTTCTCAATCAATAAACAATGTAACACACTACTAGTCCTGTACATGAACATACATGTATGTTCATCATTATAGGCAGTGTGGATCTACATGTATTGTAGCTAGCACAATGCAATTATTATTCATCAAATGAGTTGGTGCTGAGTTAGGGAGAATAACATTTCTCATCAACAATTTTTAATTTTCATAATGAATCCCAAATGAAATGACTAATTAATCATGCACTGAACAGTGATGCTTACGTCAGAATGTGCATTTAGTAATACATTGTATTATTCTGTTTTTATAATCACATTGTGAAATAATATCATTAACTTGGTTTTTACAATTGGCTTTGGAAAACATTATCTCCTTGTCGTCAATGAAAGCAATTTAAATGAAAGGAATTAAAAATGAAGCATTTAGCAATATTATTCTGTTTTTGTAATCACATTTTGACATACAGATAATATCACTAGATTTCTTTTTCGAAATGGCTTTGGAAAAACATTACCTCCTTGTTGTCGATGAATGCAATTTAAATGAAAGCAATTTAAATTGAAAGGAATTAAAAATGAAGCCTTGAAAGCCCAAAAGTCAAATTCCTGTGAAAACAAATATGTTTCAAGACTATCACGAGGTGACTCTTTAATTGTTTTAAATCGTATCTCCAGCGACTGGATCACAATAAGTTGATGTCAATGACATTCTTGTCGCTGTTAAGGACAGATGGGGTGTTCGGAGTAATTTCTAATCCCTTCGTTCAAGGAGAAAAAGCCCTGAAAGCTTTGACATTGTTCATTAATTCTCGTTATTTTTGACGCGAGTTCTGGTTATTCATGGGCGGGGATTAGCTCTGGATATCGTCGTCAGTCAGCAACGTCTGAATCAGGACGGTCTCGCTATTTATGGGGTCAGAGCCCGCCAAAATGAACTTAATTACCGACCAGATACGCATCTGCGCTTCGTCCAATAACTTCTAATTAGGGATACTAAACGTGGTATCCTGTTAAAGATTTGTCCAAAGTTTCATCAAAAGAAGCAACCAATAATTGAGTAGTCGCTGGGAGTTGGACTTCCAAAGTTAGTACAACTGGCTTGCCTGATTGTTACTTGCAGTTCTAGTTTATAAGGGGTTGAACTGTATACCCAGGCATCTTTAGGAAACTTGTGCAACTTTACTTTGAAAGGTCCTGCGATTCTTTTTATAGTTGAAATATTTGGATGATCCCAACTTGATCAGGGTTCAGTCGAGTCCAAGACAGCCAGAAAAGTGAGAATTAATTCATTTCTTTTTCAACATTTTAAACAGTTAAATATTTTTCCATTCATGAATGTGCTACACTTATTGGTTCAGGATATTTGTACTTAATGAAACATCTGTTTGGAGCCAGTTGTTACGTTTCTGAAAAGATTATGTAACAAGCACATCAAAATATGCATCAGCAAGTTGTAATATCCATTGGATCTAAGTTTGAGGCCCAAAATTCAATGCATTATTTTCAATGTACACTGTACATGTAGGTGCTGTGACATTTCCTATTGGTTTTATTTTGTTAAAGATATAGGGTTAGGTCATGGGTTGCAAAATGGTTTTGGTTTCAAACATACATGTGTAGTATTGGTTACTCTGTGTACCCAGAAATGTCTAATTTTAAAGTGCTCAGAGAATTCAGAACAGTAGGTTTAGAGGTTTAGACAACAAATCTTTAGTAAATTATTAAATACAATTTTGTTCTGTTCACATCAATTAAAGTGCTGTGCTGACTTCTTATAAATTAATCCTTATAACAATTAATAATTATGAATGTACATTTCGAAAGTTCGATTGATTTAAACAATTGCAGTTCTCATTTTATTTTTGAAAGGTTCTTCAAAATCAGTGGGATATACAGTGCATTCCAGAAAAAACGAAACCGAGAATTATTGATGCTTTATCATACCTTAGTTATATAATTAATAAATGACACATATTTGAAAAGTTTAGATCCTCCTCTTTCATTTGATGCAACTCATACGATGCATATTTCATGCATGAGTGAGTAAAATCAATTTGAAGAGAGAAAACCCCCAAAAAGTCGTTTGGCGGACGGTATCTGAATTTCAAAGAGAAAATCACATTTCTAGAAAGCTGAGTTTCTGCCCTTTCATACATGTATGACACCTCAATAAGGATAAATGAGCTAGGAATAACAAAGTTCTGTTTGTTTAAAGTAGTGCTTGCATTTCCATAATGTTATCAAACAAATTTGTTTTCACTGGCTGCCTGCCATAGCAACAAGCAGAATTGACAAACTCTGTTTTGTTGACGATCCAATCAGCCATGCATGAAGACTTTCGTCTTTCTCTTTGAAATTAAGATACCGTCCGCCAAATGACTTTTTGGTTTCCTCTCTTCAAATTGATTTTAATCACTCATGCGTGAAATACGCATTATATGAGTTGCATCAAATGAAAGAGCAGGATCTAAGCTTTCCAAATATGTGTCGTTTATCAATTATAATTGTGATTAAGTTATGATAAAACATTGATAATTCTCGGTTTCGTTTTTTCTGGGACGCACTGTGAACTTGTGTGATTCTAAAGAAAGAGTTTAGTTTTGTCTGACTAATACCTTGTAGTATTAAGAGTGTGTCTCTTTCATCACTCATTGTGGATTAGACTGGAAAGGAAATTAAGTCATACATTGGTCACAAAGTCTTGCTTTGAAGAAGCAGATTACCAAGATTAGTGCACATCCAGTTTTTCCTGAATCCCAAGACACATGTACATGTACAACTACAAGAAAGCTTTTGATATGGATCAATTAATAATAAATATTATCGATCCCTTAATGCATGTAGCCTATGAGTGTAGTTACTGTAGTGGTCCTGTAATTTGAATTAATTTTCAATGGTCACTTTAATACTCACTTGGCACAAATGTCCAGTTGCTTTTTGTGACAGATTTTTTATTGTTCACAAGGAATTAATAGAAATAAGCATTTTTAAGTGAAAATATGGAGAATTTCTATTTGCAATTCAACATTTTACTGGTCTCTCATAGCAATTATTCAGAGTGGAATACACGTTGTAATACCTCTGCTCTAAAATGACAAAGTGAAAAATATTCTCAGAAAAAAATGAAACGCTGATAATACCAAAATCAACCCAAAAATACCTACTTTTAAATAAACTACATATGGACAAAACAGCATGAGGAATGTATTTCTGCATTTGAAGTGTGTCGCACGTGGTTGTAAGTTTCGTTTTAATGATTCCTATTTTTGGCTTGAAATTCCTTTTTTTTTTGCCATCATGGTTCCTTTTTTGGGTCGCACAAGGTTGGCAGCTCTGGTTTCTCGTCATTTTATGTACACATAAAAGTGTTAAAACTCTTGTACATATCCTTTTAAACAGAGACGGCAATCTGCAAGAGAGCGACCAGATTCTAGCGATCAACGGCGCCCTCGTTGACTCGAGCGTGTCGCACAAGCAGGCCATCGGCATGCTCCAGAAGGTCAAGGATAAGGTCCACCTCATCGTGGCCCGAGGGGGGCTGAACATTCCCACCCCCTCCAAGGAAGAGCCCAACAGCAGGTCTATGGTGGCCAATGGACATCAGAATGACTTGAGTGGGAATGGGGAGCACGGGATGGGAATGGAAGAGCCAGGCATGCAGGGAGCCATGATGGGGGTTGGGGGCGTGGCCTCTCTAAGCACCAATCAGGAGCTGCTGATGCAGATGGAGCAAGAACCAGATGATTATGCTCTAGTAAGTTATTATCTTTTTTTAAATCACCTTGGATTGTAGACTGAAAATAAAATGATCTTTTATAATTAGTGAAAGGGTGTCAAATTCATATTACAACTTTTCATTGGCTTTTACAAACCCATTTATTATGTACACAGCCATATATACACAGTCAATAACCAATAACATATCTTGCCCTTTAGATTTGACGTGACAATTCAAACATCTGTCTAAATTTATTTTTTTTAATAAAAAATATATACGCTACTTGGTTTGAAGGAGTGAAGTTTAAAAATTTCACTGTGTTTGTTTATAATTGATGAACAATATCAAATCATCAGCGCCTCTTAATGCTCACAATTCAGCCCATAATGATTGTTTGTTGTATGATCATTAGGGTATGAATGTTCAACTTTGAATTTGTTTGTGTGCTTTTGAGAGGGTAATAGATTAATTACATGTAGTAATATTGAAATATTTTTGTTCACGATAGACACAATTAAGGCCAAAATGAATGAGACATTGTATCTGTATTCTGTAACGGAAAATAATGTTACAGAATATTCGTACTGCTTGCATTATTGTCAAAAATTATATTTGCTTTGTATGGGTAATTAATGATTTTATTCTTATCATTCAAGTAGAAGCTTTTGGAATTTTTCTAACTCAGTGAATATAACTCAGTCATTGCCTTTTCATATTAAAAATAGGTCATGAGGTGAGAAATACATGTAATATAGAGTCTTTTTCATGGTATATAGTGAATTATGATAGGACATCATCAGCTCAAGCATTTAAATAAAAATGTCACATTAGGAAGGGAAGGACTAAATATATTCTCTCTAGCAAGCTATAAAAAAAAATGGCTGTAAAAATGTAAAATAAATATGACAAAAATTATAATAAAATACTTACAGTAATTCTAGGAAATCCCACTTTTACTGCAGTGAATCCCCAAAAAAAACTTATGTGAGCAATTAGTTATTTTGACTCTGTTTCGTTCATTACACAGCCACTGTCGGGCGACCTTGACCAATCCATGCTTGCCCCTAACATTGAGGTCATTGACCTCTACAACAGGGGGTCAGGCCTTGGTTTCGGCATCGTTGGGGTTCGCGACATCGGCATTGTCGTCAAGACCATCGTACCTGGTGGAGCCGCAGAAGAGGTAGGCAACCATTCAATTCTGATCTAGAAATAGATTGGATAGACTGTTTCTTGAATTCATTCAAATGTCACGCATAGACACCTGTAACATAGATTGTTCTTGAGTCTTAATGACCCAAATGTGTGCCTGCAGATAGATAGGCAGAGTTGAAGACGGGACATGAATTAAAGAACTAACCTAATATACTTTCAATTCAATTTTATTTCACATCTCTTTAAAAACACATCAAAAGATATTCAAACAAAACAAAATTTATGTACATGGCACTATAAAAGAAGGACGAAGGGTAGTGGATGCGAGGAATCAACAAAGGCCATTGGCCTGTCAAGGCTAATCCCCTATTTTACCACACTTCAAGAGAAATATATTAAAAATTAAAAATAAACAAACAAACAGATAATATAACATAGCATTAATTACATAAAACACAACACAACTTATTACATAAATCACATAAGAGGCAATTAGATCGAATAAAACTACTCATTATTGAGAAGAGAAGATTTATATTTTTTTCTGAATGCAAGAACAGTTGAGATTTCTTTGTGTTCATCTGGCAAGCCATTCCAAAGAAAATAAGTTCCCCCTGATACTTTGCATAACTTAAAATATTTGATTAAATATGTTCATTCAAAAGTCAAGACACAAACTTCACGAAGTATGCAGTGTTTTATTTTTTTTCAAGAAAGCTGAATTTCATTCTAGAGTTCGGGAGAGGGCATTATGAAAACTGATCATCATTTGTAGCACACTAATCACTGAATCGTTATGTGAATCTAGGTCATGGCTCTCGTTAAAGTATGCAATTAAACTATGATTGTAGTTGATAAGTTCATGTACGTGGGTGTACCCAAGGTAGTGATAAGGATCTTCATGAACGGACGGAGGCTGCATTCTTTATTTGTGAGTATACATAATCTCAATGGGCAAATCCATATGTACAGTCTCAAGATTTTGTCACAAGATTTAAAAAATTGAATAAAGAGACAGCAAAATGAAAAATGTGCACACACAATGTAAATATGATTATCATAACACAGTATACATAAAAATTGGTATTACATTTTCAGTTTTGAAATTGTTAAAATACATGTAGTGGTAATATATGTGGTTTCAGAAAATATATCATGATAACATAAATGACAATTTTGATATAATAAACAATATTTTCAATCATGTACAGTAAGATATCAAAACAAGTATTGATAGATCCATGAATGACATTGTATGTTGGCATTCATTTTGTTTAATACTTGGGTTACAATAAATTAGTAAAACTGTTTTCTTTTTCTTTAAAAGTATATAAATGATCCATCATGTGTTGAAAATCATTATTTCCAGCCTTTTGACAATGCTGTAGATTGAGCAGTAGGCTAGCTCTGTATACCGGTATGTGCATTGAAGCAAGGAACAAGTACATTGTATTTCTTTCTACCATGTACCGATATGTCTCCCAATAATAATAGGCATTCCATTCTAATGAGGTAATAGTGTAATTGTGCTCCAAAGGTCACCTGTTTAATACTAACAGGTTCAATAGTCCAGAGCAAATCATAAATGGTATGAGTGCTTGTTGTGTTGATCACAACTCAGTGCGCATAAGACATGTTTGGTTTCGCTCTCATGTATACATGAGTACCCAGCTAGTACCTACATGTACATGCGTACAATTGTATGTACAGTGAGAAAGAGCATGTAAATTTAAAATGTACCTAGCAGAGGCCATGCAAGACCATGTACATATATATTAATAATTCATACAAACTTTTAGTTGTATGAACATAAAATGAGTAGGCTGTGCTTAAGCCTTGGAAGACTACTGTATTTTTCATGGATTTCGCATTAAGAATGGCAACGCGAATTTAAAAACCAGCGAAATATGTTTTGGTGTCGCTCAGCGCGAAAAATTAAACATGCGAAAATAACAGCATTTACAGTTGGCCAATAACAATCTAATTCTTTTAAATGATGATTTGATACCCAGTGTTTAATAGCAGGAGGTAGAATCGCGATTATAAGATGAATTGATTTCACATATTATAAGTACATGTATTTCACATCAAGGAATAAAATTTAAAAGGCTGGAAATTGTATTTTTATTGCATGTATGAATATCAGTCAAGAAATTAAGTTGAAATATTCCAAATTCAAAGGAAAATAGGAAGACATGAAAAGTATTATAATAGAAAATCTAGTGAGCTGATTTAAAAGCATTCTTCACTAAGATCGAACCAAAAATAGCTGCATGTGATGTATTTGTAGCATGCCTTTACATGTACTGTAGTAGCGTTTGCAACCGGATTTGTAGGGTAAACTCAGGAAAGGGCTAAGATTTGATAGAGCTGTAAATCTTGGATTTAGTCACTGTCTGTGTTGTTCCAGACCAAGGTGATGAGTGAGATTCAAGCATCAGTGTCGTCAGCTGCAGGACATGATAGAAGGCTTGATAGATCTCCCCTTCCTTTATACTCTAAACTCCGTCTTCCGAGAAAGATACACTGTGTTCCCATTGCCACATGAAGAAGTAGGATAAGTTAGTTATTATTAAATGTGTTTTACATACTTGTATCGTAATCTTCATAAGTTCAGAATATCCAAAACAATTTTGTCTTTTTATCAGATTTCCCCTAAATTTCACTGATATTCATGAATCGTGTTCTACTCTTTTATCATTGAATTGCGTATTTTTACTATTTTGAGTCAGGTACTGTATGTCCAGATTTCAAGAGTTCACCTGAATGTCAAATTACCTGGTTAAAAGGATAAACACACCGTACAGTTTATATTTATACTTTTTATAGGTGTAATTACTGTTGAATTATTTAAGAAGGTCTGTGTAAGCCCTAGAATAAAAATTGCCTTCACTTCCTTGCTACAGCTTTGTGGGTATTCTATAAAAGAAATGAGACGAGGGTCATTATTTATACCCAGAGGTCTTTTTCCCAGCTAGTCCAGAATCAGATTGCTTGCTTGCTGTTCCTCATTCGCATCCAAGCCCTTGAGCCACGCACTACAGCTCTCAAGAAAAGGGCGACAATAAAGCCAGAGCTACGGAATAAACACCTGCCAGAAAGCGGGTCGATCTTTGAATATCATGAATTTTTCAGGTTTAACCAGCTTTCGTCCTTCCAGCATCACTCCATCAAACAAATCCACTCTTTGCACTTGGAGTTACACAATGTTAAAGGCCTAAATGCTTATTCAGATATGAAGAAACAAACACAGCGTTGTTTTTTGGGTTTTTTTTGCGGCAATGGACCGCATCATATCTTTGTAAATGAATGGCAGCTGTGCAGAACAGAGGTCCTGCGTATTCACTTAGCTCAACATGTGGTATAAGATACAGAAATGTGCAGCATATTAAACTATATACTTCATCAAGAAAAAAACGTTGCAATTCATTTTACATGTTATAAAACCGCAACAGCGTTTTTTAGCAGTGGTTTTACGTTTGCCGTGCCATATTGGAACAAGCCTGAAGGTGGTTTAGCATGCCTTATGTGAACAAGGCTGAAGGCAAGGGAAGTCGGGTATCATTAAGTCTGTAAGCTTCTCAGACAATTTAGAAGTCTTTCACCAATCTGTTATTTTCCGTTATAGTCAAATATAGATAAACGTAACTTTAAGGGAAAAGCCAACCTTGATAACAAACTACTCTAGAAGATAGCAGAGAAATCAGAGAAGTGGACTGGTGAAAATGAAATGAAATCAGACAAAAATGAGAAAGTAATGCATCTTTTTACAGTTGTAATCACCATGGGTATGGCTCTTCAAATTGAATCAGTAATGTCTCTGTGATATACATTGTAGCCGTGGACAACTTTCCAATTTTTTTATCACACAAAATGACTAAATTTTATTTTTTCAAAGATGTATGACTCCGGAGGGTCTTCTCTTAAGAGGACCTATAATAATATGCTATCCATAAAATATTTTGTTGCCCCAAGGGAGAATGCACTTAGGAGAAAAACAGATGTTAATGACATTTGTATATGAGCACTGCAAACTGGAGAGTTGTCCATGGCTTTGTCACAATCCACTGACCAAACTGCCAATTTGAGATTCTTATAGACTTTATTACAAGATGATTAAAGCGGATCCTAATCAAATAATTGGTTGAGAGCGTACTTGGACCAGGCATTTGTTTTGCCTATCACGTAATTTTACTAATTATGACTGGTCATTAGTAAATGCTAATGATCAGTGATTAGTAAAATCATATTATAATACATCATTACATAAAACAAATAAAACATCATCTTATAAATCAAATAATACACATCGTTTGGTTCGGGCATTAGTCAAATTACCCACACTCAGTACATTCATGATTTTTTTTTCTTTTCACTTTATTTGTTCATTAATTTTGTTATGTATTTGGTCAGTTTCACAGTAAAGGGTGTAACTTTTATCGACATGTAACAGGGTCAAAATGTTGAAATATGTTTCCATAAACATTTCTACTAAAATCATTATTTAGAAATGTCTAAATTATTGATTTTTTTTGTTGTTCTGGGGCTGAAACTACATGAGAAACCTGGAAAAATAATATTTGCCATTCTAATGTACTCCAAGTCTTTGTCAACTTTTTTGGTCAAACTTATTTGGTCTTTAAAACATTTCAATGCATTTTTCAAATTCAACACAAAATATGACTTTGACTTTAAAATTTTCAAATTTACCTATATTCCAAGAGGGAGAGCAAAGAACAAATACCATTCAGTGAGTGCTAATTTATCAACGCATTTCAAATGAGGAAGTTGAAATTTCTTGTGTGTGTGTGTGTGTGTGTGTTTCGGAGGCTTCAGTTAACAATGTTATGTGTTTCAGAGACTTCAATCATGTTAGCATTGTATAAGTCCCTCTATTCAGTAAGATGCTCATACAAATCTAAATTTATTCTAAATGGCATGATAAATTGTGAACTTAAAACTTATACAAATTTGTTAAACACAGTAAACCAACTTATTTCTCAAGCAACTAATTGTTGTGACTTTTATTACGATTAACTTAAACAAAGAGAACAATTTCCTATGTTGGACTGTCCTTAACATAGCACTACGATACAAACTTAAGAACAATTCCATTTGATAAAACATAGTAGCTGAAATGCATATGTTTCGGAGGCTTCAGGTTAACAACAATGCCTGTTTCAGAGACTTCAATCATGTTAACATAATATGTTGTCCATTAACAGATTAATTAAAATCCAACTGAACTTTTAATGATATGTTAAATTACTAATATAACTAGGATAACACCTATAACATTTGTTGACATTGTAAAAATACTTGTTAATATATGTTACAAAGTATCTTTACTTAATATAAAATGAGCTTTGTGTACAATACGTAACATTGCAAAGTCAATAATAGAATGCATGTGGATTTCAAATCTGTGCTGATGCCAAATATTAAGAGGCAGATTTCCAGGAGTGCTCTTTTCCTCCTTTTGCATTGCCATTGGCATATCCATACTTTTGGGGGAAAATGTTTGCAATTGTTTTGTCTAGGCTTCTTTGGACTTTCTTTGATGCACTTGTCTTCTTCTTCTTCTTGCAGGACTCTGACAACTTCTCAGTGGTTTCTTCTCCAAACCTTTTCATAAGACTGAATCTCTTCCTCCCCTCTTCTGTAGCAGGGATTCCTCTTTCCTCTAATGCCTTTATCTTTTTAAGAGTGGAAGTATCAAGCACAGAACCAATGACATCAGCAAACCTTTCAGGTGTGTCAGGCAGACATGACTGGCATTCCTTGCGCTTTCTTTCTTTCATAGAACCATTTGAAGAAGTGCCTGTTCCAGATTGCTTTGTTGTAGCCAGTGTTTTGCGCTGTTTATCCTTCTCTTTAACAGCTTGTTTTTTCTGCCGAGACATTGAAGCTCTTTTCTTACACATATATTCTTTCATATACTGATTTCGTCTTTCCTTTTTAGTTATTTCATTGTTTTTGTCATCATTAGTTGTTATGCTGGTGCTTAAACCTTTAGTTGTGGTCTCACTTTGCTTCACCAGTCTTTGCTTCCTTCGCCGTTGACGTTGTTGAGTCGCCTTCTTCTCTTGCTTCAATTTCCTCTTGAACCTCGTGGTCCTGCTCTCATCCAACAGCTCTCTGTGGTACTCTCTTTTCTTCCTCTGTCTGTCAACTTTCTTGAGTTCTCCATATATGTCTGGATTTTCCCTTTTTAGCTTTTCGCGCCACAGAGTGGATCTTGATTTTTTACGACTTGGTTGAGCAGGGTTGTCAACAGCCTTGGCAGGAAATGGCATTCTTACTATGAGAGATGATGTTCGTCCCTTCACCATCTTTACCGTTTTCTTCTCTTGTGATTATCAAACCTGTATGAAAATACATAATTTAGTACAGGACTAGTTCAACATGATTATTATTGAATTTGATATTTCACTAGAAAACAATCATTTTGTTTGATTTTAGATGTACATCTTGAATGTATATTTGCATGTGCATTACATAATATTTTATTATTTATACATATTGATATTTATATAGCGCCTTTACATAAACATGCTCAAAAGGCTTTACATTAGTAAATAAAACAGAATAATTATTTTGCTCTCCAAGTGCATACACTGTAAAATGGTTGTGTAAAGCTGTGTAAAGTAATTTAAAAAAAGTTGTGCACCACTTGAACCAAGCCTGGTTCATACAGTACACAACCTCGTTCACATCCCGCACAACTCCACACAAGGCCTTCACACAACGCCTTGTCAAAAAACAATTACAAAGAAAACAAATAAGTTTTGAGATTTCTCTTAAATGATGCGACTGAGGTGCAGGAACGAATGCTTAATGGGAGACTATTCCAAATAGTGGGACCAGAAAAAGTTATATTTTGTTGACCCTTCTTCAAATTGATGCGGGGGATTTGCAGAAGAAGAGGATCTGACCTTGAGCGTTATAAATATCTTGATTGCTGGGTGGGACAAAATAGACTAGAAATATAGGATGGGATAAAGTTATACATGGATTTATAAAAAAATAATGAAACTTTATACATTATTCTCTTATGAACAGGTATTAACCAGTGTAGTTTTTTAAAGAAAGGAGACACGTGATCATATTTTCTTGCATTTGAAACAATACGGGCTGCACGATTCTGGATTCGTGGAAGTCTATCGATATCCGAAACATTAATATTAATCAAGAGAATTGACATTATCAAGACGGCTTAAAACAAGAGAGCGAATAGCGTGATGGCATGCCTCATCAGTTAACATCCTTCTGACCCTATATTTGTTATACAAATGAAAATGTAATGACTACACAGTGAAGTAACCTGTTGAGACATGGTCAAAGAAGAGTCAAGAACAACACCTAGAGTTCTGACTGATTCAGAGGGCTCAACAAAATTATCACCAAGTAACATGTAATTTATCCACATGTCGTGTAAGAACTAGTTCAGTAGTCTTAAAATGTACGTACACTGTACATGTACTGTCTATGGGCACCATCACTAAGAATGCTTAATGTGTACATTGCAAAAATCTTTACGGTAAGTACTTATTAATGACAGACCTGTTTCACTTTCAATCTGACCATGGATTTGCAGGAATTGTCTGTTCAAAATTGTAATTTGTACAGTGATTTCATTCATTGTTACTGGTTTACCATTGTGCATAGCCATAGACCTGTATATGTACATACATATCAGGAGTCTAAATTAAACATTTAGCACTATTACAACTATAAGCCTAAAACCACATGCATTGAGTATGATAAAGGTTGTATATGTACATACATACTAATACAGATCTTAACTAGGCCTCACTATATTTTTAGTGACAAATAAAACTTAAAAACACAAATTCCATTACAATAACACATCAAAACAATGGACAAGTAAAGTAATAAAGGACAAAATATAAAGTTCTTACCTCTATATTCTTGTGGATGACAGTAAGGAAATGAGAGAACTCGGTGTATGCAGTGTTCATGTCTGTCTGGAAGAGATGCTATCTAGTATCAATGTTGCTAGCACATTCTGCATAACAAAAACAATCCTCAGCACTGTTCCTGAAAAAATACAGGACTTTACAAAAATGTCTATGTATTTCGTGTACACCAAAAGGGTCATGCTTTGGGTACTTATGTGCCTGCCAAAATTTAACGAAGTAATCCCTGAAGATGTTTATGCTACCCACGGTAGCACCCAAATAGGTGACTCATATGCCAAAATATCTTTGAATTCTGTTGCTTTATGAGATCACTAGAGATAAAAATGTTCAAATTTCAGAGTTACACCCTTTACTGTGAAAATGATCATTTGCTATTTAATTTTGCTCAGTTCTAAAATCCTTGTAAACATCTTTATCCTACCTTGCATGAAGAAAGAGGCATATCTTTAATGCATGAATTCAGAACAAAATTGTTATTATTTCCATATTTCATGTATAAATAAAATTTAACTGTACAAAATATAACACTCATTACATATGTTTATACTTAGATGTACATGTGCAAAATTGGAGAATATATAAGGGTTTGAGTAAAGCTACAGATACTCATTGTATATAAGTCACAAAATTGTATTTGTGGTACATGATTGTAAAATAACTAGCAAAATAGGAGTTAATTACCTTGTGATCATCATGATTATCATGTATAGATAGAGAATGTTGAAAATTATATTCATACTGAGTATATGAATATCAATAAAATCAAAGACATTGTCATGGTTATAACTGTACAGGCAGGGGGCGTTTTACAAAGATCCTATTAAAGCTGAACTTAACTCTGGCCTTTAACATTATGGAGAGCCTTTTGTAGCCCTAAAATAAAATAAAATAAAAGTATTTTAGACTTTTCATAAATTCCACATCAAGAACATGTCATTTCCTTGATAATAGAAAATATGAATGATTTGAATCAACATTTTATGCCTTTTAAAATAACTTTTACAAAATATTTTCATAGATGCTAATGGCTTTCCTTAATTTTTAAGTCTAACTTAAAGATAAGTTTAACTCTAAGGATCTTTCAGCCTTTTCACACACAGCTAAAATTCTATAAACATGACTAGTAAAAACGTGTTTCGAACGTGTTTAAACTAATCACGAGCCTTTCACACACAGAAATTTCGGTGCGATCATTAATCGTTTCGTGATTAACTACTGCTCGGAAAATGCGCAGTAGTGCCATTGCGCATTGAAGGTCATGTCACATCAATCAAAGCGCATGCTCCATCCAGTTTAAACACGTCTGAAACACGTTTAAACACGAATAACCTTTCACACACAAAATCTCAAGCTCACTAGATACGAACTTCGTATCTGCAGCCTGCTTTTGCATCACGACTTCGTATCTATCCCAACATCGTATAAACGATGTTCACACTGGGAAATTTTGTCTATAAACATGTTTAAAACTGTTGAGTGATTCTAATCATCTCTAGATACGATGAATTTTAGCTGTGTGTGAAAAGGCTGATCGTGAAACGCCCCCCTGCTCATAGACAACTTTGGTACATAAGGTACTAGTCATGAGGGACCTTAAAATCCACAAGCCTTGCTTTCATCCAAGGTCACCTCATCTTTCTATTGCAATGCCATATTCTGTTAACTTGTTATATTCATGTCATATTTGTAAAGTGTGTTATGAAAGAAAGCTAAATAAAACTTGAAACTTGTACAAGTGACCTCAAAATATCCGCAGATCTTTTACACATGAAGACGTCCCACTTTGTGTAGTTTAAGAAGAATCTGGTGTAATTTCAAAGCAATCCTGTACTATAGCCACCACTGATACATGTATAATCTTAAAGTCCTATCAACTATTGGACCAACTTTTTTAAAATTAATAATCATTCTTTTGCCTTTCCATATCCTCTCCTACAGGATGGGCGTCTCCAGAGTGGTGACATCATCCTGCGAATCGGAGAGACCGACCTTGAGGGGATGAACAGCGACCAGGTAGCCTCTGTCCTCCGTCAGTCCGGCAGCCACGTCCAGCTGGTGGTGGCTCGAGGGGCGCTGCCGGTCATCCAGACCTCCCCTGGTGGTGCCCCGCCCATGGACCTGGAGGTGGAGGGAAGGGTAGAGGGGGGTACCAGACTGCCCCCTCAGGGACTGGACCTCCTAGGGCAGGGCCACCTGGAACCAGATCCCCTTCCCGTCTCACCCCCACCGAACATGTCAGAGGTAGGTAGAGGATTAGATGCTAGTTTCAAAGTTGTTTTTGGGGAAAAGCGAAATGATTTGAAGTGAATTCATTTTTGAAAAGAATAGATATTTTTCTTATTTGTTATACTCTCTCTCTTTCTCTTGCTTTTTTCTCTTCTTTGTCTCCTCGCACTCTTATTTATTCTTTTCTCTCTTTCTGTGTGTGTGTGTCTGTCACTGTTAAAATGTGACTGTTTCAACCTCCCCCTCCCCCCTCCCCCCTCCCCCTTCTCCCTATCTCTCATTCTGTCTCCTGATTTATATTCAAGTTGAAGTAGCTAAAGTCTTTCTGATATCTGTCATATTCTCATCCCTAATTACATGGACAATTGGACATGTAGCTTACATCTTGGATTGACTCTTGTGAGGTCTTTGAGGCAACGTTGCTTTGAGGTTCAGCTGGCCAAAGGAAACCAAGGACGTAATCTCTCGATTGCAGGCTTCATCATGCTATCTCTGCCTCAATTCCTTCTTATTTATATCTTGGTAGCCTATTTAATATGCCACATGTTTATCATCCCTTTTTAGATGCCATCTGGTATTGACTTTGGTGAGGTGTTTGAGGTTCAGCTCGCCAAAGGAAACCAAGGACTTGGTCTCTCCATTGCAGGCTTCATCAAGAAGACACCTGATGGTATGTATCATGTGACCCCTGGGGTATGTATCATGTGACCCCTGAGGGTATGTATCATGTGACCCCTGAGGGTATGTTTCATGTGACACCTGAGGATATGTATCATGTGACACCTGAGGGTATGTATCATGTGACCCTGTTGATTTTAAAGGCATTGTTTAACAATCTTAAATCTGAGATACATGGCCCTACGTGTTATTAGTGTCTGTAATACGGTGTCATATAGAAGCCCTAAAAATATTGCGCTTCAAAAAGATCATGAAGTGCCTCAAAAAAGTACCTGCAAGAATCTTTGAGTGACCGGTTTTACCATACTCATTTTCCCCAATAGACTTTAGTCTTTAAAATTTTGATTCCCAATCATAAATATCTTGATAATCAGACAGGCGATCGGCTTGTTAAAGTCATGGGATTTCTGACTGACATAAAAGTTTATAAATGAGATTGCAGCATAAGCTTAATCCAGGATTTTGTTTCAGAATCTGAGGCACTGTTACCAAGTCACTTTAAAGGTAAAGACCAGTAATGGTCATGCGATTGCATTGTGAAAGAAACGTTGTGGAATCGATCAGAAAAGGTTGATCATCTAGCATCTAGCATCTGCAAGGTTCTGGAATCATCAAAATGATAAGAAATTTGGCCCATTCTTCGTAAAGTTACAAGCGCTATACACAGAAAGATGTATACGGGACTACCCTATATCTCTCACACAACCATGAGAGAAACAAATTTAACAAATATATGAATTAGTAGGCGGTTTCCCGGCAATTTTTTTATCACCATGTATTAGTCAAAACATATTCTTTCACATGATTGGTAATGAGAGCTTCCATTTCATTTTTTAAAATTGGGGCGTTACCAATACTGGTCTTTACCTTTAATGCACCATATAACATTGCATTGTTTGGTGAATTTGGGTCAGAAATTTGTGGAACACGTGGGAAGTTCACATGTAACTATAATACATACATGCTAATATATATCTATTTCGCTTAAATGAAAAATATTTACATTGAATGATACAATAAGCTAGAGAATATCATGTCTATAAGAATTGACACTACTGGCACAATATGGTATGTAGTCAATCCAACTGGAGATATAGTATATAGTCACAATTTTTATTGTAAGACTAGATATGATTATAACATGATTTAAGATAATAGTTCTTGGGTTTTTGTCTGACCTGCGTAGCAAAAAGCAAGACATAGGCGCTGCTTTTCCGGTGACGCCGCCGGTAGCAGCGGCGTCAACATCAAAAACTTAACCAAGGTTAAGTTTTTGAAGTTTTAATATAATTTTGATAGTATAAGTTCTTATTCATGAAACTTGAACAGGGGTTATCAAGTATCACCAATTATGATAGTATAAGTTCTTATTCATGAAACTTGAACAGGGGTTATCAAGTATCACCAATTATGTGATTAGTCTTTTAGGTGACAAAGTCAAGTCAACTTAGACTTTCTTGTGGCATCAACATCAAGATTTTGAATTTTTAGCATAATTTCAGAAGTGTTTGTTTCATTTTTGGGGGGCCTGCTAATGGGCCATCTTGCCTATAAATAATGTCCCACTCTCAATTTTTCATCATATCGAATTGCGTAATGCAGGCGAGACCGCCGAGAGTTGTTTCCCTTGTTTAAACATAATTCTAGCACGTTTTGAACATGATATCCACATAATTTTATCATCAGCTCGAGTAATATCATCAATAGATAAATGCAAGTAAACATATTGTACTCTGTTACAAAAATAATGTGCGAGCAATACTTGGTTCGGTTCTTTCACACAGGTGAAGAAACTTCAGGAATCTTTGTGAAGAAGATTTCAGAGGGGAGTGCCGCAGATTTGTCAGGAAATATCAGAGTTGGTGATCAGATCATCGAGGTAGGAGAGTCTCACATGATCTACAGTAATTGAGATGAGATGTTGGTGGTGGTGGTGGTGGTGATGATGATGATGATGATGATGATGATGATGATGATGATGATGGTAGTGATGAGGATAATGGTGATGATGATGATGATGATGATGATGATGGTAGTGATGATGATGATGATGGTGATGGTGATGATGATGGTGATGGTGATGATGATGATGATGGTGGTGGTGATGATGTTGATGTTGATGATGGTGATGATGATGATGATGATGATGGTGATGATGATGGTGATGGTGATGATGATGATGATGGTGATGATGATGGTGATGATGATGATGATGGTGGTGGTGATGATGTTGATGTTGATGATGGTGATGATGATGCTGATGATAATGATAATGATGTTGATGATGATGATGATGATGATGGTGATGGTGATGATGATGATGGTGATGATGATAATGATAATGATGTTGATGATGATTATGATAATGATGTTGATGATGATGATGATGATGATGATAATGATAATGTTGATGATGATGATGGTGATGGTGATGGTGATGATGATGGTGATGGTGATAGTGATGGTGATGGTGATGGTGATGATGATGGTGATGATGATGATGATGGTGGTGGTGATGATGTTGATGTTGATGATGGTGATGATGATGCTGATGATAATGATAATGATGTTGATGATGATGATGATGATGATGGTGATGATGATGATGATGATGATGGTATGATGTTGTTGATGTTGTTGATGATAATGATGCTGATGGTAAATGTTATGATGGTGATGATGATAATGATAATGATGTTGATGATGATGATGATTATGATGATGAAGACGATGTTGATGATGGTAAATGGTATGATGGTGCTGATGATGATATTGCTGATGATGATGTTTATGATAATGATAATGATATATATGTTATTAATAATGATAAAGATGAGTATGATGATGGTGAAGAAGATGGTAATGACGGGTGACAGTGTCATGAGTCACTGTAGATAGAAATCTAATCGGAATAACTTGTTCAAGATAACAATAAGGAAAGGATTTTTTAAGGAGGTAATTGAAAAGAGTAAAACAGAAGATAAAAGAAAGTTAAGTAGGGAGAAAGAGAAAAGGAAAACATCTGATCATTCGTCTCCTTGGCAGGTGGATGCAGTGAACGTGCAAGGGTATGACAACAAGGCCGCTGTGGATCTTCTACGCCAGACGGGTGCTGTGGTGGTGCTTAGGCTTGTTAGGTTCCCTCCAGAACAAGCGGAGGAACCAACCTTACAAGGTAACTAGCTTCTTCCTTCTTCCCCCTTTTCCTTTTTCCTTCTTCTTTTATCTGTTTTCCTTTTCCTTGTTGTTTCGTGGTTGTTGTTTTGTAATATTGTCTTGTGTTTTCTAAGTCTTCGTGTGTGCGGGCAAGCACTGAATCCAATGACCGGGGTAATAGTATATTTATAAAGTGCTTAGAGACATTTGTATTAAGCGCTATATAAAAGCTAAATATTATTATTATTATTCGTAGGCACAATTTGAAACAATTTTGAATTGGATTGAATAGTGTGAGGGTTTTTTTTGGGAGGGGGAAGGGGGAGGAGGGGCACAGGTAGTAAACAGAAGTAAATGCACTGTGGAAATCCTCTTTGACTTCTCAGCCCTGGATTGTTTACTCAAAGACAATACTTTTTAATTATCTTTATCAGTCTTGAGCCATTAGCGGTAATTTTGTTCAAGTGTATTTCAATACCGGTACATGTACAATTTGAAGCAGCCGGCAAATACAAATGATCATACAAATTAACAATACCTTTTATTATCAGAAGTATTGACTTGCAAAGGTAATCTGCCTTTTAATTGTACATCATAATAAGGCCTAAAAAAATAGATGTTGTACTGTTCTTTGTGGTCGACCAAAAAATCTACGGTCGGCTTTTAAAGTTTATTTTATTCTATTTTTTACCGTTTTTTGTGAGAAAAAAATTATTAAAGCATTCAAAACTGAGAAATATCAGCCCAAAGAGGGAGGAAAACAAAATTCTGACCATCCGACCCATGTTTTGGCACCTAAAGGGCAATACAACATCTTTTTTTTTTTTAGGCCTAAGGTTTCCTATTTTTCTTTTCAACTATTATTTCTATCGTTCATCTTTATAAATCATTATTCATCCGACCTTTTGACCCCTCCCATCCCAGCCCATGCCGCACCCCTGCCTGATCTTGCCCCGCCCTCTCTCCATGACGACATGGTACCGGCCATACCGGAGGTCGCCATGATGGTTGCCTCATCACCGTTCAGTCAAGGAGGAGATGATGGGGAGATGGAACAGATAGGGCAGATGGAGGAGAGCTTTGGTAAGTCAACTACTATTTGCGAGTAATAATATTCTCATAATTAAGATTGTATAGTCATAATTGTTACAGAAGAAATGCAGGATGGTCTATTCGTCCTTTCACACAACTTTATTTTCCCTCTTTTTGTTCTTCATATTTTTCTTCTTCTTGCAATATGCCCTTATAAATATGAACAGCTTGATTTTGATGAAAGATTTGTATGAAATTTTCACTATACTTGCTTGAATTATAATTGTTTCAAATAGTTGTCTTCTCTTTACTTTCTTTGTTGCACTTTCCCCATTCTCCTTACTTAAAATACTGTACATGTTTAATGATGTCTCCTCTCTCTCTCTCTCTCTCTCTCTCTCTCCCTCTTTCTCTCTCCCTCTCTCTCTCTCTCTCTCCCCCTCTTTCTCTCCCTCCCCCTCTTTCTCTCCCTCCCCCCTCTCTCTATCTCTCCCTCCCCCTCTCTCTCCCTCTCTCCCTCTTTCTCTCTCCCTCTCTCCCTCTTTCTCTCTCCCTCTCTCTCTCTCTCCCTCCCCCTCTTTCTCTCCCTCCCCCTCTTTCTCTCCCTCCCCCCTCTCTCCCCTCTCTCCCTCCCCCCTCTCTCTCTCTCTCTCTCTCTCTCTCTCTCTCTCTTACTTTCTCAGAGGGTGAATTGAGTCCTGAAGAGGAGATAGCTATCATGGCTCTATGGCAAGGCTTGCTTGGACTGGAGAAAGATATTGTGGTATGTAATCAGTCAAATGAATCTCAGTTTCTGACAAAAATGTGTTCTTCTTACATGTAGTTACGGACATTATGTTATACCTTTTTTTTTAGCAGATGTTTCTGCATTTATTGATAAATCAAATATAAAACATTCAAATAACAATAATAGTATATAATATAATTGATTTACATAAAGAGTGACAACTTAATACACACAAATAAAAATGCATAATTGAAATAATTGAAAGCTTGAAAGTATGGGGGTAAGTAAAAATAATCAAGATAAATGCAGAGGCCAACTATCATAAGCAAAGATGCTTGATTCGATAGCAGCCTTAATGGGATAGTTGAGTTCTATTGCAAAGGGTGCTACACAAAATCATTTTTTGTGAGATAATGAAAATCTGAGTGTCAAATTTGAAAGAACATACAATTTAAATGACAAAATCATCTTTGTTTGATCAAAATCGGTTCAGAGACGGCTGAAATATCCATAAATATAACAATTTCTAATATTTGTGTACCACCACAAATATTAGATAATTTGAAAAAGCTGTTGAAAAAACAAAATAGCACCTTTTACATTGTATTTCAGCCAATGCAGATATTGGATTTTTTGTTGGCTTTGTCATGTTGGTTATATTACGTACAACCAGTCGGCCCATGTATTGTTTATTAATTAATTAACGGTCACCATATTTTTTTAAAAGTGGAGCTGAATTGGTATGATCGTATGGGCTAAATTGTACACATTTTGGGGTCTAAAATTACCTTCATAGCAATTTTAGGTCCCAAAAGGGCACTAGAAATGTTATAGATAAGAAGAAGAGCAATAAGCATGCACTTTGAAGGCATTTGCCGTCTGAAAACAGAACTCGACTATCCGTTTAAATATGCACTTTATAGTGTTTAAAATACATCTATTTGTCAACAAGGAGTGATTATTCTAAAACTGCACAAATTGGGACGTCTACATGTGTAAAAGATCTGTGGATATTTAGAGGTCATTTGTACCAAAGTTTACTATGAGCTGGTCTATAAGGCTCAGAACTGGTCCCTGAATGCAACACTGATATTTTTATAAACGTAATGCTTCCTGCGAGAAATTTCAATTATTTAAACATATTTGTGGCTTACACCCAGTAAATAAGATCGATTGATCGATCTGTATTGAAAAACAAAGTCAGAAAAAATCTTGGAACCAGCTGGATATGAACCTGGATCTACTGCTTGCCAGGCAGCGACTCTACCACAAGGCCATCACTGGTCCATGGCACAGTCACGATGAACTAGAAACAAATACCCTTGTCTTGATGTCTTATCCTACTTGTTTTTCAGATTGCTCAGCTGTCCAAGTTCCATGAGGGTGGGAGTCTCGGCATCAGTCTAGAAGGAACAGTGGACATTGATGAGAACGGTCAAGAAATCCAGCCACACCACTACATCCGCTCCATCCAGGCCGAGGGACCGGTCGGTCAGAATGGGCTCCTGGCCAGTGGGGACGAACTTTTGGAGGTTCGTATTGTCTTTCTATTTACTTAACCAGAAAGGATTACACAAATAAGATTGTATGGCACTACTAGGACTAGTGTTGTTAGTGATATAACAAGAAAGTGGATATGTGGGGCTATCACTATTCTCATTGAAAAACACAAAGAAAATCTGTTATAGTTGTAAAGTACACAGTGTGAAGTTTATTTATTGAGAAGCCTCCTTTGGATTTTTTATTTTTTATTTTGTGCATGTCCTTTCAAGCTTGAGTGAAACAATCTGTGAATATATGTATTTGTTTGATCATTTTGTTGTATTTGAAATTAGTCTGAGTGCCGAATTGTCCAGTTTTATGTAGCGGTAAGCTTGAATTCTTCACAAAACTTTTGCAACCTTTTTGGTAAGATATTCCCAAACGATGATGGAACAAGACGGCCTAACAGAACCCAAAATGTAAGTAGAATGGTGTCACTGTGTGCACCTGGGTTACTTGTGTTCGACACGATTGATAAATGGTTTGATATACACTGGAGTGGGTATGAGGATGTGAAACATGGTAGTATGCCATGCTGTGGTGATGGGGGAAGATCAGTTTAGGCCTTAACGTTTTGGGGCCTTGATGTTTTGTGGCAGGGTAGATCACTTCTTTGTGCACAAAGCATTTGCACTACTTTAGGTCTTGAAGTTTGTTTGTTTTTTTCTTTTTCACAGAAATGATTTGAGTACAGTCAACATGAATCTCTTTGTATCTCTTTGTATCAAGGCACTTAATACCCTCAGATAAAATTAGTTATCCTCACCTCCCCTCAATGATTATCATGAATATGGAGTTAAATAGAGGTCCCCCCCCCCCCTTCTGTTGGGAAGGGGATGTCCATAGGGGAATTGTTTGCAATCTTCATGGAATAGAATATTTATAAGAAAATATACAGGGAACTTTTCAGATTGGCCACCCATAATCAAAGGCATTTGTCTGCTGGGGTAGAATTACAAGGTCGCTACAATCTTAAATTTAATGAAAAGAAATAACATCAGATTCTTCAAATTGGCAACACATCTATTAGCACATCAGTTGATTATCGTTCATCCTGTAGGTCAATGGCATTCGTCTGCTGGGGAAAAACCACGAGGCGGTCGTGATGATCCTCAAAGATCTTCCCCAGCACGTCCGTCTGGTCTGCGCCCGCTCCGCCGGCCTCGTCTTCCCCCAGGCTGTGATGTCGGACGAGAGTCTACCGTCCATCGAACATGCCACCAGTGACAGCGACGATATGAAGCTCCCTGACATTAGCCTTGGCAGCAGCAGTGAGCCAGGGGAGGTGGAGGCGCAGTTCTCGGCCAATGTGTCTGCAGGGGTAAGTATTAAAGGCATTGGGTAACTTTGCCTCATATTCTTAAAAAATCCTGGATTTAGCTCCTGCTGCAATCATAATTATAAACCTTTAGGTCAGTCATGGGGATTTTTTTACAAGCCAATCGCCTGTCTGATTATCAAGATATCTATGATTGGAATTAGAAATTTCAGAATTTGTTTTTGGTCTTCAAAACACTACAGTCTATTTGTTCTGGTTGTTTGGTAGATTGCAGATGAAGTGTACATTCATCTATACTACATCTGATTCAATAGATCTGTTGCATCTCTACATTATATGCACAGTTAAAGTGCCCATTACTGAGCGTCTGAAAATTTAAAGGTAATATACAGTTCTGGCAATGACGAGAAATAAAATATCACAGGTTCAAACCACACTATTTTGCAGAAAATTTAAAGTAGAGCCAAAAGCCAAGGAAGTCAAGACAAATTAGTGAGTTGACCCAACCATGTGTCAAACACAAGAACACTTGATATTGAGAGGGGAAAAATGGTGAAAGTAAAACCAAAAAAAAGAACATCTACAGCATTTCAAACCGGTTTAGAAAGTACTTTCCACTAGTTGCTCTTGAAATGTAGTTCCTTGACTAGAACTATAGATAAGCTTAACTTTCTCTAAACATTGTTTTCTATAAGCCAGTTCATAGCTGCAGTCTGAGCATGAATAGATAAAGGTCATTGTAGACCAAATTGTGAAATACACGGAGACAAAATACTGGATAAGTGCTCATGAAAGTTATGTAATCATTTATTTATGCACAAGCAGTGCACTCCATGATACACAGGTGAAAGTAATCTTTGAAACGGGGGAAACAAAGGCTATTTATGTAGCACCTCCGTCGCTGTAGGAGTGAATATTTCAAAATGTACAAAGTTGAACCTCTCCATGTTTGAAGATCTGTGGATATTCAGGGTCACTTGGGACATGTGCTAACCATGAACTGGTCTATTCCCTTTCCGATCAGAAGGAGATGACGACCCCTATGCTCCCTGCCTTGGATGACAGTGGAAGTCCTCTGGACTACAGCAACCACACCGAGGCCAGCCAGGATAAGGACTCCATGTGGAGCGATGAGATTCAGTACATCGAGCTGGAGAAGGGAGATAGAGGACTAGGGTTCAGTATCCTAGACTATCAGGTACGTCTTAATGTGGAGCGATGAGATTCAGTTCATTGAGCTGGAGAAGGGAGATAGAGGACTAGGGTTCAGTATCCTAGACTATCAGGTACGTCTTAATGTGGAGCAATGAGATTCAGTACATTGAGCTGGAGAAGGGAGATAGAGGACTAGGGTTCAGTATCCTAGACTATCAGGTACGTCTTAATGTGGAGCAATGAGATTCAGTACATTGAGCTGGAGAAGGGAGATAGAGGACTAGGGTTCAGTATCCTAGACTATCAGGTACGTCTTAATGTGGAGCGATGAGATACAGTACATCGAGCTGGAGAAGAGAGATGGAGGACTAGGGTTCAGTATCCTAGACTATCAGGTACACCCTTTGAATTTGATCTTTCACATTTTCTGTAGGTCTTGTTTCTTAAAGTAGTCACCCGAAGAATCAAAAGTGTTTTGATTTTTTTGATTAATTTCATTGATCACTATGTACAATCAGTTACAAAAAATCTAATGTACGAACAACTGCTACACTTTGTGTTATAGTGCCCAGGCATACCTGCCAACCCTTCCGAATAATCCAGAATATTTTGATTTTCTGGATTTTTAGGACCAGAAAATTTGGACAATTCTGATTTTTCAAAATTTCGATATTTAAAAAAAAAATAAAATAATTCTTTATATTTTTTTTAATGGTGCTAAAGCTTTTTATCATGTGCCGCCCATTCGAGAGTTCAATTATTGCGTGCGCTGTATGGCTGCATGATCGAGCAGCCAATTTGTATTCAGTTTTTTGTACAGATTTACCGCATATTGCCAGTTACACTGCCGCTGCAAGTGCGATTCTTATTTTCAAAGGCATGTCGTGCTAAAAAATTCTTAATATTTATTTTCAAATTTTGGCAGGTATGCCCAGCAAGGATGTAGCCAGAATTTGATGTTGGGGGGGGGGGGGGGGGGGGGGGGGTACATGTAATCGATCAATGTCCTGGGGAGGGGTCTAAAAAAGTTCAACCGATCTTGGAAATTTGTGCTACGTGCCTGATGCCCAGGTTACCTCAATGTTTTTTGATATTTTATTACCTACCTATCATATGCATTTTTATTATGATACAGGATCCAGACAATCCTGCAGCATCGGTCATCGTCATCCGATCCCTCGTACCAGACGGTGTGGCAGAACAAGATGGCCGCCTCATCCCCGGAGACAGACTTGTTTTGGTCAACGAGTCCAATCTGGAGAACTGCACACTGGACGCAGCCGTCCAGGTCCTGAAAGGCGCCCCCAGGGGTATGGTTACGATAGGCGTGGCCAAGCCTGCTGCTGGGATGGAAAGCGAGGAGGTATGTCAAAATTCAGTTTTTGCTCTTGGCCCGTTTCACAAAACTTGTCATCAGTGACAAATGACAGTTTTTGTTATAAGCTAGTTAAATCCTTGCTTCTGATTGGTTATCATCGGATTTGTCACTGATTTTTGTCAATTGTCATTGAAAAAAGGCCTTGTGAAACTGGTCCCAGGTTTTTGTCTCATCTTTTCAATCTGTTGACCCATGCTTATGGAACAAACTCTTCTGAGAAATAGTGGTAGTGGTGGTTATTTCACCTGAGTGCTAAGAAAGCGTGAATGCTTGTAAGTAAGCAACCAGACCGCTGACGGCTTTAGGTCCTCTCCGAGGGACCTGGTAATGAGGATTAATGCCTTACCAAAGGGCACTAGCGCATCGCCTTGGTTTGGAACCCGGGTCACCGGATTGCGAAACCACTGCTCTACCAACTGAAATATTACTTCACTTGACCTCTTTGAATAACATCAGAGAACTTACCTCTACAATTAGTATTTTGTCTTTAGACTATAAAGGGACAGTGCTTTGTATCATCTCTAAAAGATGCTATATAAATCCAATTATTATTACCACTATTATCTATTGTAGGTACGTAGCATGTTCGCATATCGCAATGGTACAGGGCTATTTTGAGTAGCGAAGATTACTGGTCTTACCTGTGTGTGGCGCAGGCTTATGCAACATCTCAAAGTTAACATATCACTGAGTCAGGCATTGACAAGCTTAAAAATAATTCATTCAGTTTGTTATTCAGACTATGCATAGCACGATGTGTAAATGCATAAACCGTAAAGTGTGAGGTAGCAGTAAGACCTTTGAAAACAATTATTGAAAAGAAAAGGTTCTTACAATCCGTTCCATGGATGGCACTAACTTCCTTGTTACCCGCAGTCTTTGTCTTTGTCAGGCAGATTTTTAAAAATATCTATGTTATGTAACATTCTTCCAGGCCACAGATCAGTTTTTATCATTTTGGGCCTACGCTATATGTAGTCCTGGGGAGTGTTTCACAAAGACTAAGATTGACTTTAAGTTGGACTTAAATATGGCAGGCCGTTCATGCCACTGTTTGCTCTCACCATTTACTGGCATTTGTCTCTCAAGGGACGTACAAATCATGGTCACATATCTACAGAATTTAAAGTTTTTGATAATTCATTATTGAAGGAAAAGATAATATCTAAAGATCATAATGGTGAGAGCAAACAGCTTGGCAAACAGTGGCATTGATGGCCTGTCATAGTTGAATCCAACTTCAAGTCGATCTTAGTCTTCGTGAAACACCCCCTGGACCTGTCATATCTATCATCCTGATGAAATTTGAGGAAAAAGTATTTCTGTTTGTTTGCATAATTGTCTGAGTGACAATACTCCATCATACATGCCAACTGTTCAGATTAAAGAGGAACATTCCTCTTTTTGGGAGAAGATAATTATCATTTTAATGCAGGTGTTCCTCTTCCTGTACAAATTTGTCTGTAGTATTGAATAGGAGAGTTAGGATTGTTCCTCTTTTTTTTTTAAATAGCATAATTTGTACAGATTTCTGATTTTCAAATGTTGGCATGTATGCTCCATAATGCATGGTAAGTATTTGAAAACAGTTGAAAGAGAGAAGATAAGATTAATCTAATGTCTGAGTGACAATACTCCATAATGCATGGTAAGTATTTGAAAACAGTTGAAAGAGAGAAGATAAGATTAATCTAATGTCTGAGTGACAATACTCCATAATGCATGGTAAGTATTTGAAAACAGTTGAAAGAGAGAAGATAAGATTAATCTAATGTCTGAGTGACAATACTCCATAATGCATGGTAAGTATTTGAAAACAGTTGAAAGAGAGAAGATAAGATTAATCTAATGTCAATTGTTGTTTAAAGATGTTCATGCGTGGGTATATAGTCGTTCGTGGAGTAGGCAACTTGGCGAGCACTTCATAACACTGAGCCAATGGGTATTACTCTCCTGTGCGTATGTCCGTATGCTGCCCTCTATATACCAACGCTTGGGCAACTTTAATAGCTTGAAAGCAGCAGAAAGTATCTTCTTTGTCAAACGCTGTTGTTTTTTTCTCAAATGTTGAAGACAAAAAAAACACATTGCTTGTATCTTCCTCAGACGCAGGTGGTAAGTGCCACGCCCACCACAGTCCAGGAGTCGCCACCCCCGATGCCTTCCACCACGCCCATGCTACCGGACGTTGACATCTCGCCCCTGGCTGCTGGGATGATGGCCAAGGAAGCAATGGAGGAGGCGGAGAGGGAGTTAGTGGAAGCAGAGAGGGAGATGGGGAAGGAGATGGAGGTGGAAGTCAAACCAATTTCCGTAGAAGGTATGTTTCATTATTAAAGGGACTATGTGACATTGTTCAGATGAGAGTAAATGGTGCTAAAGTAGTTACTACATTGCTAGATGTACAATTAAAGATATTCTGAAAGTTTGATTAAAAACAGATCATTATTAAGGATAAAAAATGGGGGAAAACTGATCTGATTGATTCCTTAATTCTCCCAAGGTGAATGTAAATCATCACAATGCAATAAATTGGCTCTATATTCCAGACATTTAAGTGTTGAAAGATTTTTAAAAGCTTGTCTTATGTATTATTTACGCGGAAAAACAGTTGGGAAAATTCAAATATGGTGGGGAGAATTCACTGTTAGAGGATGTCGCACAGTGAAGCCTTTTAATATCTTGGTGGTTTGAGAATTTTTCAGGACTTTTTTGCATGTTAAAGTGTTAGTACAGTAGAAGGAATATAATAAGTATCATTTCTGACAAAAATTATGCATTTTTTTCATCAACCTTCAACAATGTTACTGAGTCACTTTGAAATAAGTATGATGGGTTATTGGAGAAATGTAAAGCAAACTGTGGTTGCGTCACTCATCATTAATGGGTACAGAGTTGTCTGGGAAGGGGGGAGGGGTGTAAAGAGGGAGATAGAAAATGCAGAGAGGGGAGATGGAAGGGAAGATAAGCATGTTTCAGTTGAAAGTATGCAGCCGGGGGATTGACAGCTTTAAGTCTTGTCCGAGGGACTTGGTAATGAGGATTGATACCTTACCAAAGGGCACTAGCGCAGTGAATTAATTTCAAACCCTTGACCTCCCAGTTACTTACAAGACCACTGCTCTACCACTAAGCCATCATATCTCCATGTATTATTATCCTCCCCCTCCCATTCTTTCTCTTTACAGTACCTACAGAGCCAGCAATAGTGGCAGCGAAAATATCTGTTGCCCACAGTGCCCCTCCTGCACCCCAACCAGCCGACACCCAACCCCCAACCATGCCCCCCGATCTGGTGTCATCTATAACAGTGTCGGACGGCCCCAAGCCTCAAGCACCGATGTCTAAACCCCCTCCACCAGTCAAACCCGGTGTTACTGGAACAGTGGCCATAGAACAGGTAAGATGGCATGTAGAAAGTGGTGCGGTGTTATAATCCTTGTGGTGTTAACACTAACACCAAGCTGAAGATTGACACGTGCTAATTGATGTCATTGATTAGTATCAGAGACTTGATTCTTACCACCAAAAGAGCTCTTTACCTCCTACATGTAGTTTTCATTGATATTTACACCAAAGTTTGAAGATCAGGGCCCCGCTGCACAAAACTTACCATTGACGGTAACTTCCATGGAAACCTTGATTTTGATTGGCTGTTGAGCCCTGTTACCATGGTAGTTGCCATTGATGGCAAAGTTACCATCAATGGTAAGTTTTTGTACAACAGGCCCAGATTAGGTTAAATCATTAGGGATGCAATGACTGGCATGGTGATGGTCTGCGCTGAACTTGTCAATAATAATTTTGATGTGATATAGCCAATTTGCTTCATCACTAAATGAAAGAATATTAACAGCTGGGTGTAAAATGACAATTTATCCCTTTTTTTTTTGTAAAGCATCACCACATATTAATTGGCAACAAAAAGTGAATTGATTGATACATTTTCAGATTATGCATAATTTTGATAGAGCAAAGTGGATATATCCATATATTTCAAAAGTAGCACTGTCATAATGATATCATCTTGTATGTGAACATAAACTTGAAAGGATTGCTGTATTTGTGTACATATGGAATGTAGCATGCAGTTACATATCCTTGATTGACTTCTGAATCATACTCCAAACAATTTTAAAACTGAACTTGAGTACCGTATCTCAAATTTTCTACTCAAAGTTTTGATTTAAATATTTCATGCATTTTTTGTAACTTGATGTGCTTACAGAAAAAACAAACAGGACTCTAGACAGTTGTATTGAAGTTTTGAGATTTGAATAATGCATTGTTATTATTTTTCATTAAATGAAATGAACAATCTGGTTTATGCACTAATTTAGCTGAATTCTTTATTATTCTGAATATGAAAGTTGAAAGATTCTTTAATTTGTATTCCTTTTTTGTAGAATGAATAGATGATAAATGTTGTACTCACCCTTTCTTGCACTGCATCCCTGCCTTGAGACTAATGTACTTGTAGCAAAGTTATTGCATGATGTGAAATGTCTACCTTTATTTGCTGGGAATGCGAGCTCGCTGCTTTCTTTTTCCAACCAAGATTAGGCCTTAAAAAAAAGATGTTGTATTGCCCTTTAAGTGCCAAGACATGGGTCGGTCGGTCAGAAATCCTTTTTTTTTCTTCTTTTTTTTCTCCCTCTTTGGGCTGATATATCTCAGTGTTTTGCTTGAATACATATTTTTTTATTTATTAAACAATTTTTTCTAGAAAAGCTCAGAAGGAGTTTCCTTCAGGGGACGGATGTCACGTTAGATTTTTTTTTTAAAGCCGACCATAGATTTCAAGATTTCAAGATTTCAAAGGGCAATACAACATCTTTTTTTTTACGCCTTATAGTTGCTTCATCCCTGTGCGAAATCAAAAGGAAAAGATAAAATAGCTGAGAGAGTTGCATGTATTAGGCAACTCAACATCACAGTTTTGCATGGCATTGTGCAGATTTATCCGGCTTGAAATTGCCCAATTAGCTCTGGTGTGCTTCGGGAAGACGATGAATAAAACAAACAAGGGAGATGATAGAAACAGGTCCTGGTGGGAAAGTCCCTCTCCTTCCCTGCCTTGGCCCTCTACCCATTCAAAAAAATCCACTGTTAAAAATCCACTTTCACCCCAATATATTGTTCCCATCCATGTCTCATTGAATAGGAATCAGATGTACGTGTATTCTAGTTTGCTGTGCAGTATACTTTTATTCTTCACTCTGTCAATACATTTGTACACTTTCACACTTAAAACTCACACCTTTTGTACACTTTTACACTCATCCCATTCTTTGTAGTCACAGGGATCAGACAATTAAAAATAATATTTGTTCATCAATGTGTTGTATTATTCAGCCTCTAAATCCCATCTCAATAGGTAATTTCGCACCTGAAAGTTGACATTCGTCTCATTTTCATCTCCCTTTTCTAATGAATTGCACCTCATTTGTATATTTTTATCATTTTATTGCACTCTATAAATGTTTTGATTTTTATCACCATCGTGTGAAAATAAGTGCTGTACTGTTTTTTTAAAGGAGAAAGGGAAGAAAGTAAGGGATATCCTTGTTAAATGCTCTAAAGGTACATGTATCAGATTGCCTATCTTACTTGTTAAACAAATACTTTTCTTGGGGCCAATTTGTAGGTCTGTTATTGCAAATAGAGAAAAAAAGGTTATCACCTTTAGATTAAAATGTTGTAATTTAAACCATAATCATCGTAAAAGTTCCCTCTCCCCTCCCCCTTCCCCCCAAATTATCAGTTTGGAGGGACCTGTAAAATGGAAACCACTGGATACTATTCACCTACATGTATCAACCTGGCCATCGTTACACGAAACCGCCATATTAAAGTACAAGTTCACAGACATCCCATTTTAAACACTTCCAGTGGGTTGTCATGTAAGCGAACTTGTACTTATGACGGTTTCTAGAAAAACTGCACAGAATAGAGGGCCCTTTCTTTGCATGACCACCTTTGTAAAGACCACCAGTCTTTCTTGGCCATTTGAATTGTTTCCTTTAATGGTTTTATTTTCCTCCTAAAATACATAAAATTAACACCTAAATCATTCATACCCCTTGTAAATTTGATGTTTTTTGTTTTTTTGTAACTCAAGAATGAAAGGTGAACTGCATGGTCCCATTAGTGCCTTTGTTGAATAATTTGATAGGTGTAAGCTTTAAATTGTCATATTCTCAAGAAAATTAAATCAGGATAAATCAATTTTTCCACATACTTTTATACAAAAATTGGTATATATGTATGATAATAATTAAGTTGTCAACTGTACATGTGTGTTGCTCTCGTCCAAAAGACTTTGCTGTGAAATAACCACTCTGCAGTTTGCTGTACTTGACTTTCCTTTCCCTTATCTGTCACTTCTAAATTAAAAATGCTTAGTTAATGTTGAAGGGAATTGATGTCTACTCTTCTTTTGAGGTGGAAATAGTTGGTTTTGTTTGCATCTTCTTGTGCTGCCGCAATGACACAATACAGCACTTCATCACATGCACTACTAGCAGTCATTAACCTTTACAATATGAAGCAATAATATTGGCAATACTTGGCATGCTAGACCAAAACAAGAAGAATTATGAGGGCAAAAGAGAGATGACATAATTTTTTACGGGGGGGGGGGGGGGGGTGTTTTAGACTTTTAGGGTTCCTTTCATGAAAACCATGTAGTCACTTTCATGGAGAGTAGACAATTAGAAGTATTATAAATTGCACACTGATTTGCTTTTAACCACAAAATGCCTGACTTTCTAGTTTGATGTGATTTGTCCTAAAAGCAAAATGCACAGAAATAAATCCCACACCCTGTTCGCTGTGAGTGGTAAACAAAAAGATTTGCTGAGATTTTGTATAAACTTTGATCTTTTTAATAACTGGTACCCATTAAAAAAAACTTTGATAAATAACCATTATACAAGCAGGCCTACTACATTTATTGTTTTCCGTTCTCTTATTGTTTAGTGAGATTTGTTGTAGGATGTGCTTCAAGAATCCAAGGGAAGAATATAGCGGTGGTTTGATTTTGTTGTTGTTGTTTACTGAATACTAGACAGAATAAAAACATCACATTTTGCATTTTGACACATTTACATTGTGACACATTTGCATTTTGACACGTTATCTTTGTATTTAGCATTTTCATTTATTTACATTGAACAAAGTTATACTGACATTGATTTGCATCTTCGCTTTTCATTCTTTGGTTCTTTTTCCCCTATGTATCGCTTTTCCCCTGCACCCTGCTCCTTCCAAAATTAAAATGTAACCCTTTCTTTGCAAAAATCAAAACCAAAAAAAAAACTGAACTAATCTTGATTCTGTGTGGCTATCAATAATTGATCTAATTTTTATCAATTTGTCCTCTTGAATTTACGAAATTGTGATTTTGTTATTATTGTATCTTTTGATCATTGATTTATACCTTTTATCCCTTTCTTCTGTTGAATTAATCTGTCTGGTTTTACTTTTCATATAATATCCAATTAATTCATTACTTGTGTGATAATTGTGCTAAATGTATCATCCAAAATGTGTGGTTTTGTGGTTGTACACCATTTCCCTCCCAACGCACCCTTTTGCTTCAAACGCACCTGCCATTTGAACCATTTCATTGGTTGTTATAACCCACTATCAGCCCTCGGCACCCGCCACTCCTCCCCACCCCAAGCGCACCCCACCCAAGCCGCCTCCAAAGCCTGTGCTCCGCCCTAGCCAGTCCTCCTCCGGTACCTCTTCCCCTCGCTCCTCTTCCCCTCGCTCCACTTCCGCTTCTATCCTTGGTCCCAGGGGGTATACCCCTCCCGGCACCAAGGGGTTTTCCCCCTCTAGCAGCTTTAGCTCCGGTGGTTCAATCACTGTCTCACATCATCGACAGGCCTCCGCTGAGGAGCGTACCCCAGATGAACGCACCTCTAAGATGGTGCCGATGAAGTCAACCCCGCCCATCGGTAGGAGGAAGTCGTCTAACGTGGTCCTGCCCCCCTCCCTGGAAGAAACCATTGTCTTGAAGAAGACAAACGCAGGACTAGGTGAGTGTTAGCACTATGAATATGACGGACAAAGAAAGCGGACAAAATATACAGTTCCCCATTCTACCCTCAACAATTGCTATGGTAGACAAAGGAACATCCCTTCACTTCTATTATGTAAAAATGTGAAGAACAGGTGTCACATGCAAATTCACCTGTGCTACTTATTTTTACATAATAGCAGTGAAGGGATGTTCCTTTGTCTACCACAGCAATTGTTGAGGGTAGAATGAGGAACTGTATATTTTGTCTGCTTTCTTTGTCCGTCATGTTCATAGTGTAGGTTGTTATAAACCTCTTAGTGGACCAAAATATCAAACATATGTAATATTTGATGGGATTTTTAGGCTGAATTAAAGAATGAATTTCAAAATTGTTGTACATGTATTTGTTCGTTTCTTGATGGAAGTTATCAACAAATCATATTTTTGTTTCACAGTTTGGTTCTTTCAGCGTTGTGCTCATCTTTGGAATGGCACATGCCAGGAATGCTCCCTAGGAAGTGGAGAATGCCTACAATATGTTTTTGGCAAGCCTGAACATCATGATATTATAGTTATTATTTTCATTATAGAACATATTTTCTTTTGGAAAGTCACATTTTAATACTTTGGTCGATTACTTTTGGGTATTTAAGTCCTGCAATAAGAATCCTAAGTATTGTTATTTTGTCATTATTTAAAAATTATATATTTTCTAGTTTTAGCATTCAGCCCATCAAGCAGGATGGCCTTCATCATCCTTATCTTCATCATCTTCTTCTCCGTCATCATTATCATCATTTATTTTTGTCATTATTTTATTCAATGTTATAATTATGATTTTAAATTACAATTTCTAGGTTTGACGGTCAGTGCCGACAAGGCGAACAGCCATCATTATTTAAAAATGATAAATTTTCTAGGTTTGGCATTCAGCCCATCAAGCAGGATGGCCATCATCATCCTTATCATCATCATCTTCTTCTTCATCATCATCATCATCATTTATTTTCGTCATTATTTTATTCAATGTTATAATTATGATTTTAAATGTTTGATTGTTATATATTTGTAAAAATGCAAAAGATAAAGAAAATCAAACAGAAATAAATCAAATCAAATCAAATCAAATCAAATCAAATGACCATTTCTAGGTTTGACGGTCAGTGCCGACAAGGCCAACGGAGTGGTCATCAAGTCCATCATCCGTGGGGGGTGTGTCCAGCAGGACGGGCGTCTCTCGATGGGAGACTACATCACGGGGGTCAACGGAGAGAGCATGCGTAACCTTAGCAACAACACGGCCCGAGGGGTGCTCAGAAGGAGTTTCCTTCAGGGGACAGATATCACGTAAGTTTTTCTTGAATGCTTGGTTGTCGTGTTGCCCTCGAGTTAAAACATGAGGATTTGGGAAGATTTTTATGACCTTCGCTGTTTTAGAATTTCAATCTTCAAAGACCAAAGATCAAAAAGTCTATAACTTTGATAAACATTTTTATGCCTCCGTTACGAAGTAGCCGGAGGCATTATGTTTTCGGGTTGTCCGTCCGTCCGTCCGTCCGTACGTCCCGTTCTCGTGATCGCGTTATCTGAAGAACCGATTGATGGATTCCTGCCAAACTTTGGTCATGTATGTTACTTGCAGAGCCAATGAACTGATTAGATTTTGGGGTCACGAGGTCAAAGGTCAAAGGTCACAGGGCTCATTATGTATGCAAAAACAGCTCGTGATCGCGTTATCTGAAGAACCGATTGATGGATTCCTGCCAAACTTTGGTCTTGTATGTATCTTGCAGAGCCGATGAACTGATTAGATTTTGGAGTCACAAGGTCAAAGGTCACAGGTCACAGGGCTCATTAGGTATGCAAAAAGAGCTCGTGATCGCATTATCTCAAGAACCGATCGATGGATTCCTGCCAAACTTTGGTCATGTATGTATCTTGCAGAGCCGATGAACTGAATAGATTTTGGGGTCACGAGGTCAAAGGTCAAAGGTCACAGGGCTCATTATGTATGCAAAAATAGCTTGTGATCGCATTCTCATTAGAACAGATTGATGGATTCCTGCCAAATTTCGATCATGTATGTATCTTGCAGAGCCAATGAACTGAGTAGATTCATGGGTCATGAGGTCATGAGGTCAAAGGTCATGGGCTCATTATGTATCCAAAAATAACTTGTGAACGCATTCTCATTAGAACTGACAGATGGATTACTATTTAACTCAGGACATCTTGCAGAGCCAATGAACTGAGTAGATTTTAGGGTCATCAGGTCAAAGATCAAAGGGTCATATATGTATATGAGAAATTGCTTGTAATCACGATATTCTGAGAACCTCTTAATGGATTACAATTGAACTTGAATTTGAAAAATTTCTTCTGTTTTGGTTTGTAAAATTGCTCTATGACGGAGGCATCATTTTCGACTGCGCGCAGTCGAAGTTCCATCTAGTTTTTAAATTAAGTCTAAATTATATCCCTTGCAGCCATTGTTTAGGGGCTCTTTTCAAGTTATGACACCTGGGTACAAATCTTTCGCAGATCATCTGTCAAATCAAAATTGAATCCTTCCAATCAATGAATTTCTTAAACATTTAGGAATGTTTTCCCGTTGCACATATGATCATTTTTATATGTTTCAAATACAGTCAAACCTGCTTTAGTGACCACCTGTCTACAAAGGCCACAGTTGTTTCCCTTGAAAATGGTTTCTCATTGAATCATGTACTAAAGGAACCTGTCTACAAAGACCACTATATGTGTTTCCCTTGGGAGGTCGCTATAGACAAGTTTGACTGTATATGTGATGGAGCAGACTTACAATCAGTTACATGGTTCCCGGTTGGAGTCCCGCCATGGCGCTAATGTCCTTTTGCAAGACATTAATCTGCATTTGCCACACTCCACCCAGGTGTTAAATGGGTACCCGGTAGGATGCGACCGTTAATGGATTGGCATGTGTGCACTTTTAAAATTGCACCTGGCCAGAATATGTGTGGATTAGCAATTGAATCTAATGACCGGGTACCAATAATGAGGAGGCGTGATAGCTCAGTTGGTAGAGCAGTGGTCTCGTAATCCGGTAACCCGGCTTCGAAACAAAGACGATGCGCTAGTACCCTTTGGTAAGGCATTAATCCTCATTACCAGGTTCCTTTGGAGAGGACCGAAAGCCGTCGGCCGTCTGGTTGCTTATTACAAGCATTTATGCTTTCTTAGCAGTCAGGTGAAATAACCACCACCACCACAACCAATTACAATGTAAAGCGCTTAGAAACGTAGTATCATAGCACTATACAAATGTGCCTATTATCTCTAATAATGACTCGCACTTTGACCTTTTGCAGGGTGACCTACATTCCAGCCACCAAGGCCGCTGGTCTCTTAGAATCCTCCTCAGGGTCCCCCATGGGTACCCCGCCCCTCTCTGCATTCCGTGCTTCCAGCGTCGTCAGATCAACAGACAGGTAGGAGAACCAGGAAAAAGAGAAAGAGAAATATTAAAGAGCATATCCGAACTGAAAATGAAATGGAATGATTATATATCAACAGAAAGCATATTAGTCTTGGATTACAATAATATCAATTATATATGCCACTTTTGTGTCTTTCAGAGCAGTATCAGCTCTCTGAAAACTAAAATCCAAAGCTTTGAAAATCGGAAGTTGTCGACCTAAAAAATTGCCATCGACTTGATGACATCATCGTATGTGGAGTACGCATATTCACGATGACTTTGCATTAATTAAGCACGGATAGCGTCTTTAAGCTCTTGAGACTCATTCAGACATAAAGAGCAGTATTAAACAAAGAATCATATTTTGCATGTAATTTGAAAGCTAGTAGTGGTAAAAAGGGTAGTTTCTGCACATGAGAGATCCCCAAGCATACAGTACTCCTTCATCTTTTTATTCTACAAAAGTCTCCCAGCTGTGCCACACCCATGGGTCATGGGGGGGGGGGGGGTGAGGGTGGGTAGTTGGAATAAGATGTACCTATATGTACATATCATGGGTGAATTAACTGACCATAGAAATGAAATCTGAATAGATTTATTCTTTCATCTTGGTGCATGGACCAGAATCCTGTATCCATATTACAAATACGATTTCTCAAGCGTGGAGTGTAATTCTCCTTTTCAGTTTTCAAGTTTAATAATACAAACCTTGTTCCCTGACTTAACAAATCAAAGAGCTGTTTCAAATTTAATGAAGAAAGAGTAAAAAATAATATATCAGATCCAACATGTAGGCAGTTCTAACCACCTACAGCGCTGAGGAATGAAATTGACATCAATGGGGTTTTTCCCCTTTCCTTGTACAAGCAGTAGTCCATCCATCACCCCCAACTCCAGCATGGACATCACCATGACAACCCCTCCAAGCCAGACCCCGCCCAGTGAGGAAACAGCTTCAGGGGAGAGTGAATGGGGAGATGTGAAGACGGTGACAGTGAACAAGGAGCCTGGACGAAGCCTGGGCATCAGCATCGTGGGAGGTAGGCATATCTGTCTGTCTCTCTCTCTCTCTCTCTCTCTCACTCTCTCTCTCTCTCTATCTCTCTATCTCTCTCTCTATCTATCTCTCTCTATCTCTTTCTCTCTCTATCTCTCTCTCTATCTCTCTCTCTCTATCTCTCTCTCTCTATCTCTCTCTCTCTATCTCTCTCTCATTCTCTTTCTCTCTCTCTCTCTATCTCTCTCTCTCTATCTCTCTTTCTCTCTCAGTCTCTCTCTATCTCTCTATCTCTCTCTCTCTATCTCTCTCTCTCTCTCTCTCTCTCTATCTCTCTCTCTCTATCTCTCTCTCTCCCTCTCTCTCTCTATCTCTTTCTCTCTCTCTCTCTCTATCTCTCTCTCTATCTCTTTCTCTCTCTCTCTCTCTATCTCTCTCTCTCTCTATCTCTCTTTCTCTCTCAGTCTCTCTCTCTCTCTCTGTCTCTCTATCTCTTTCTCTCTCTATCTATCTCTCTATCTCTTTCTCTCTCTCTCTCTCTATCTCTCTCTCTCTATCTATCTCTCTATATCTTTCTCTCTCAGTCTCTGTCTGTCTCTGTCTGTCTCTCTCTCTCTCTCTCTCTCATGAAAGATTTCTTCATTATTTAAAAAAAAAAAAATTAAAAATGCAATGCTAATGATCCATCTAACTCTTGCTCGCTAATATCTGGGAGCAAACTAGAATGTAGAAACCAACCTATCCAATGGTAGAAATATTTTTGTTTATTTTTTTCTTTTATCATCTTTTTAGGGCGTGCTGGAGGAGATGGTGAAGTTGTTCAAGGCATCTTCATCAAGCATGTCCTGGAGAGCAGCCCAGCTTGGAGGACCGGACAACTCAAGACGGGAGACAGAATTCTAGAGGTGAGAGGAGAGAGGATGCTATACACGGTTGCTATGGAAGCGATAATCATGAGGAAGAGGAGGATATATGTAGGGGTGAATAGGATGATGATGAAAGGGGTATTGGTAGTGTAGATGATGATAATAATGATGGTGGTAATGATAAGGAGAAGAATTGTCTTACGAGCAGCCCAGCTTGGAAGACAGGAGGACAACTAAAAACGGGAGACCGAAGTTTAGAGGTGAGAGGAGAGATGATGCTATCCTTGGTTGCTATGGTAGTGAATAGTGATGATAATGAGGAGGAGAATGATATAAATGGTAGGAATGGCCATGAAGAGATTGGATGGTGTAGTAGAAGATAAAGATTGTAATGATTGTGAGGATGATGATAAGGAAGAGGAGGAGGAGGTGGATGATGACAATTAGGATAATAAAACTACAAATCCCTTTCAAAATTCCGCATCCATGATTCACGATCTTGTAATCCCCTGAAATTGAATACAAACAGAGGAGTAAGTTTTATATCTGTACTCACGCATATCTCTGCCACTGTCATTATTCTGAAACAAGTTATAATATAGCACGTCGAATTATTGTACAAAAATCACTCTAACTCATGTCTCGTCTCCCCCTTTCACCCTTGATCCCATCCAGGTGAACGGCTGTGACCTCCGAGAAGCGACGCACGACCAGGCGGTGGCGGTCATCCGCAACGCAACAAACCCCATGCACTTCCAGGTCCAGAGTCTGACCCTGGGTTCTCCGGCAGCAATCGTAAGTCCTACCCCTGTTCCATTGGTCAAGCGTGCAAGCCGAGTCAGTCAGCTTTCAAGGCTTTTTGAATGATGGGTTGATACCCCCTCTCCTTTCATGTATTCAACACAGAGTATCTCTCAAATTCCAATCTCCTCTTTCAGGATTATCCATTTCATGTGGTCTTGTACTTTTTCATTTTCATCCTTATATTTTACATTTTTTCATGTCATACTTTTGGCCCCTTTGTCTGTTTCCTTGACGTTGCATTAAAGTGCCTGTTTGGGTTCTTTGTCTCCCTCACTCAAGTATTTCTCTCTCTCTCTTTATCCCTCTCTCTCTCTCTCTCTCTCTCCCGCTCTGGTATAATCCCATACGGCACCTTGCTTTTCATAATCTACTGATGACGAATGAGAGGAAGAGCATGAAAATGATTCTTGCTGCAATTTTTATTTCAAAGTTCACCAAAGTACACACTACATTGTACCCTTCATGTGCAAAACTGTTGCAGTGTTTGAATCCTTGTTTTAAACATTCCATAAGTGATCTACATTAAGATGTCAATGGTTTATGCTTGGTTGAAGTACCTGAAAGAAATAGTCACTTTAATGACTACATGGAACGTGTATAGCATTGATCATGCATAGAGAGAAGAAAGGAACTGCTGCAATGCTGCAATAAAAGGTGTTTAAAGCACTTCCAGTTTGGAAGACCCACTGCAATGAGTGATTTCAAGTTGGGTGTTAGTGTTTAGAGCTGTCAAGAGCTCTTAAATCAAGCTTAAAAAAAAAAAAAATCGCTGATGATATTAAGAGCCTGATACCAATAGTAATATCCATAGCTTAACACTAACACCGAACTGGAAATTAACATTTGCTTAATCCCTATGGGCTAGTGTTAGTGAATCAGAAAATTGTACGTAAAATATTAACACCAGCCACAAAGTTCGGTTCAGCAGACGACAATTTTGCAAAATTGATAACACCAGCCAATGGAAGTTGAAGATATTCAGAGGTCAAAGTCTTAACACCAGCTGATTTCCATTTCGGTGTTCGGCTGGTGTTAGTGTTCATTAAACACTAACATCAGCCCTAAACACCCAACTTGATATCACTTGAATGTGTGCTTGTATTGATAAAAGAAATCATACTAATCTTTTATCACATGTAGAAGTCCTCTCTAGCATAAGTGTCTATCATTGAAAAAGTTCTCCATTGCCAAACTCAGTGGCAATGATATGGTCTCAATTTTATCAGGGAGTATACATTCACATCTATCCAATGTTCATACAAGGAAAGTTTGTTACAGTATTAAATTAATACTCATCAGATGAAATGGAGGCCTGTCTGTGATATTATTCAATAGGTTTCGATATCTTATACGTATTTTGTGAACATTCACATTTCTAATTCATTTTACTGTTTCGTTGTTACTTGTCTCAAGAAAAATACAAATACATGCAAATAGATCGCATGAAAAGAAATAATGATTGAATCGGTTTATATAATCATGTCATTTTCAAGCTGACACAGGGATCACTTCTCTATGCGCTTGTAACCAGCAGAATCGGCACTATTTCAAAGTAGATTATTACTTTTTACATCATAAATGTTTATTCTGTTGTATTTTTTAAAGATAAGCATGAAATCATTTTGAATCAGACTTGATAGTAAATCCACTGCCTCTGAAGGATTTCCTTGCCATTGATAAAAATTCAATCTTGCCTCTTATCTTTTGGTGCTTTGGAATAGTGTCCAGCTTTTTTTCTTTTCTTTTTTTTTAACATCAGAGATTCAGAGTAACTTGTGCTTCTTCTTGAAAATTGTGTGCTAATTATTTTGTTAACACTTCAGTTTTACCAAACTATTTGCTAATTTTTTTTTTTTTACATTCAGTTTAAATTTGTAACACCATAGTGTCTTAATGTGCACCTCTTGCCATGGTGCTAGCTACTGTTCCAAACTTGAGTTTAAACTTAGGGTTGTATTGTGAAGCCTACTAGCCTAGATCATAGATCTATCTTGTATCAGAGACATTGTTTATAGAACAATATTAGTTTGGTCTAGTTTGCTCTAATGAAGCAAAATTTAAAGTTCACAACAACTGTTTGGTCAGTGAGCCTACCAAAGCATCAAACAGTTTATTGGAGGGAGTGGCGCTCTGGGGTTTCTTGCATTAATTTTCTACATGTGTCTGCTTAAACTACATTTAAAGTCAGGAAAATTTGCTGTAGGGACGTGAGCACTCCAGTCCCCCTCCTAGAACCGCTTTTGGCCAGAGTCATTAACATGAACATATTATTAAACAAATCTGTCTTTAATGAAAATATGTGGTACAATAGTAGCACACAGTTATGTTCTTATCTTGTTCTTTTTATATTTAATCTTATCATTATTGTGTTTCGTCTCTTCATGGCATCAATATTCAGTATTCAAAATTCATCTTTATTCAAAAAAATTATATTCAATACTTTTCATATTTGTCTGGTATTCAACATGCTATAGATAGGATGGTATAATTGGCGATTGCAAAGTGTATTCCATATTTTTGTACATTGAAAGATGGGTCATAGAGTAGATAATAAATAGAAGATGTAAATATTTTTAGATATATGGTATCTGTAATAAGGGAAACCATATTCAGAAGTTTGTTGTATATAGTAGTTTGGGAGTCAGAGTTGATATTGTTGATCATTATTCAGATCTCATTCTTTCTTTATCTCATTTTTCATCTGTTTCTTTCTGAATTCATATACCCTCTCCGTCGCAGAATACTGTCCATTTATTATGTGAATGTATTCTAAATCTCGGACGTAATTTTGTATACATGTGTCAGTTTATATTTTTAATGTATTGATGTAGATTTCAGTACAAATTGATACAGTTTGTATATTCAGATAGATGAATATAGATTATTCTGATAGAAGCAATTACCTTTAAGAAGTGTGTAAAGTACTCAGACTTTTACCTCCCTTTTTTTCTAGCTATTTGTGACCAAAGGTAGTTCTTACAACATTTATTATTATTTAAGTAGCATTATATATCTACCAGTAGCCAGCAGTTATAGGAGTGTTTTCTACGTCAACTTTTGTTAGAATGGACAAATTTTTTACGTGAAGTGCAGGCGATATATATCTTTCCCCCAAATTTATCTTCACCATTTATTTTTGTACATGTACATGTAGATTGATATACATACATACATAGTTTGTGATGAGCGTATCAGTCAGGTGAAAACGCAATTTTGAGCTTCGGGATAGTATCTCGAGTCTGAAAACAGCGGGTTATTTGGCAAACTCAAGCTGATGAAGACAGACCTAAAGCGCTTAGGAAAAAATAAGAAAGAAGTGACACAAATTGAAAAGCTGCAGGAAAATGTGTTTTAGTGCAATGATATTGGTCCTACTATATTAGAGAGCAGGGGATTTTGTGTACCAAAATCAAAGTGCATTACTTTCTTGGTGCTAGCTAAGACTCACCTATAACTTGTTTAGTGTTTCATTACTTTTTTTCCTTCATATTTATGTGTGCTATATCATAATTCACATCTTGCCAATTTGATGAAGCTGCAGAATAAACAAAAAAAATGTATAGAGAATTCTAAACATATTTGCCACTTGGTTAGTTCATACCGTATATATATATATTAGGTTGTATTGTCGAAGGGTTTGTAGAAATGAGTGTTAGCTTGCCAATTATTGTATTAATTCAAACAAAGTGTAATTTACCTGCCTAATATTGAATTTTGATTCCAGATTATTCAGCATTCTAGCTATAACACAAGCATCAATGTATTCATTTATGTTAAACTCTATTTATTGAAATTGGTACAGATGACGAGTATGTATTAATAATATTAGTGCATAATAAAATAATATCCACTCCTATAGAGAAATGTTGCGATTCATTGATGTTGTTTTTGGATCAATCTAGATTATACATGAAATATATTTGCCGAAATTGATTTGCTACTTTTGATCAGTTTATTGACATTGCATGTTACTGCACTCATTTGTGTGCCTAACATTTATTCAGAACCATTCAAAATCCCTTTTCCCAAACCCCAAACTGAGCTAGTAAATGCTGCTATTGCTGCCTTGTAATAAGATGTAAGCTATCTTTGGAATGAAAGTTCACATTGTATGTTCCGACCTGCTTTTCCCACCTATTTCTTCTATGCAATCTTATAACACAGAGCTCAGTGAATATACCCAAGGCCTTTGTTGCGCACAGTTGCCATCCATTTTACACGAACAAAAAAACTACCGGTGGGCTTTCTTGTTTTCTGCGATGATTTACCGTGCCACATGTAAATGAAAATTTAGAATGAACCCCTTTCCATTTTACACAGTAGATAAATTAAGCAAATTAATTATTTTTTTTAATTTTCAACAGAGAAGAAGATTATTTTCCCCTTTGACCCCTTCCCAAAGCTAAGCTTGTGACCACAGTTTTTTAAACATTTGCTACTACTTTTGCTTCTGCTTATTTGTACTGGTATTACCACTACCACTACCACTATCACTTTCACTACAACAACTCATGTGGATAACAATAACAAACAATCCCATTACTTTAATATGCATTGCTTGTTGTGTACACACTTTGAGGCCTGTTTTGGTGCATGACTAAAATGGATTGTTGGGAATATTCCCCCCCCCCCCCCTCCCCTTATAAGTACCAATCAAAAATATACATTCATCGCCCCTTCAAACCATTCATTCTTTTAAATATTGTTATGTTTTTCCCCTTCAGTCTTAACTGGCTATATCGTATGTTATTATTTTTGTTTTCTATTCTCAATTCTGCCTCTCTCTCTTTCTCTCTCTCTCTCTCTTTCTCTCTCTCTCTCTTTCTCTCTCTCTCTCTCTCTCTCTCTCTTTCTCTCTCTCTCTCTTTCTCTCTCTCTCTTTCTCTCTCTCTCTGTCCCTCTCTTTCTCTATTTCTTTTTCTCTTTCTATCTCTATCCATCACCTTCTGTCTATTTCCCCATAATCTGTTTAGAGTTGCAGGGGCAGTAACTATTTTTAATTAAGGCCCCTATGGCTCCGAACAGACAATAATGATTTGCCTTTCATTTTTTTTTTTTTTTTTTTTGGGGGGGGGGGGGGGGGGGTTTCCACCATGTCATCTTAAAATGCTATTATTGTAATTTGTATGCTATCAGTAAATTGCAAAGTTTCATCCCTCACGCATATACAATACCGGCACTCTGCATTCAACACTTGCACACACATAAGACTAACGATTCCACCCGCACAAAGAGACGGGCCTGAATTTAAATTAAAGCCAATGATAGTATGCTGCCCTCGCTGTTGAGTTCTTGGAGAGGAGAGGAGAAACGTATCCAGTCCACATTACGAACATACACCGTATCTTGTGATGACACACACAATGTGTAAGTCAGAATGCATGCTGTGTGTTTAATAATAACATTCACATACTAGATGTTAGTAATTCTTATAAAGATGCTAATTAGCTCTCAGTGTGTTTTTTTCCAAGAAAAAAAGGAAATATTATTATGGGAGGTAACCATCGGATATATTAGAAGTTCTTAGATTAGAATAAAATATATCTGGCCCAGTTCAAATTAGTTTTTTGCTAAACCATTTATAGAACTTTCCTTTTGAGGATTGTAAAGTTTTTTCCCCATGTACCAGCTTTTATCAAGTAATTAAACAAATTATATTGTTAGTCCTTTAAAATGCTTCTTTTGAATGTTCATTCCTTGATGGGTGCCCAAGTTAATATTTCACAATGAGCAAGAAGCATTGAGATATCTAGACGTAGGTAGGACTCAACACTTGCATTGTTGAGGAAAGAGGTAGACCAAGTCCTAAATATTTAGACTTAGGTCTAGACTAAGACCAGTATTGTCTAAATGCATCTCAAAGAATGAGCCTATTCAAAGTCTCTTTTGACTGCAAAGACTTAATCTACAATTACCATTTATCTTTTTTCCTCACCCATAACTTTTTTGGAGTGTTACCGCTCTACCATACAGAGAGTAGAGTGTGTGGGACTGTCGAAATACAGACTCTGAAAAGTAAGTCCAAATTGGATGCAGTAGCCTCATTTTGCATGCGTTACTTTCTCCCCCTTTTATTGCAGACTTCAGCTTTTCAATTTGCTGCATTTTATTTGTATTATTGTACATTGTGATGATTTTATGATTCAAAATCTAACCTTACCCATCCTGCTACCATTTTGTGTTTTAATCTGAGTCTAATTCCTCCTTTTTTTAACAATTGTGCATGATAGCATTCATATTTTGTATCTAATTTGATAACAATGCATGCATACTGACTTTATGTACCATGCCTTTGAATTGAAAATTAAAAATTTCATTTAGAATATTTAAAACCATTTCATCCTGACACAAATTTGCTTCAGTTAACATATAAGATTCTGATAAAGAGCAAAATGAATTAAGCTTACAACTTCAACATATAGGGATGGGATTAAGTTTTGTTTTGTCAAAAGGTTATCATTTTTATTCTAGTACGGATAGCAAGAAAAGGATTGTTTTGGAAAGGATGGAGAACTTCAAATTCATTTCCATGATAACTTAAATCATAGCGAGTAATAACTTGTTCTGCTTCATATTTTGCACATTTTGCACTTGCATTTGCACTTGCACTTTTTGCATCCCAATTCTTCAGTATTTCTAGACTAGAAATTTGATTGAACCATAAACAAGGATTCATCACAGAAAGTGCTGTGTTAATTCTTGAAAAACCTCATATCGGTCATTTACATTGGTTGACTCACCACCTTTACACACAGCACCCACTACATTCCTTCCCTGAACCAATTATGTCCTTCCGATTATTGGAAACATAATTATTGTTTGTTTATCTGCTGCTTTGCAATTGCATTTGGCATTGTTTATATCCATGTTCATGAATTAATATTTTCCTTGATTTTGTACCTTATTTTGTTGCTTCATGTTCACTGGTTTTGGAGAGTAGTACAATAGAGTACCGAAGCTGTGACGTCATAAAAGTCTATTTTTAGAATTTCTCAATTTTTTCTTCATTTTCCGAAAGAACATCAAAAATAATGTCCAACTGTCGAAAACCAATTGAATATGTTAAATATTGGCTGAGATATGACCATCTGAATAAATATACTCCCCATAGGAACTCAGTGTTATATGCTCTGGCTCCTAATGGTTAGGAGCCAGAGCATATAACACTGAGCTCCCATAGGACATATATTCATTCAGATTGTCATATTTCAGCCAATACTTAACATATTCAATTGGTTTTCGACATTTGGACATTATTTTGGGTGTTCTTTTGGAATATGAAGAAAAAATTGAGAAATTCTAAAAATAGATTTTTGATGACGTCACACTTCTCCACTCTATTGTTCCCTTTTTACAGCATCAATCATTCATTCATTTGTATCCTGGCTCTCCGACAAATACACATCATGTTGATAAAATCAACTCATTTCTTGTAATTTGCACATGTACACAAGATGGCAACAAAATAAACGGACAAAATAAGGACATTCCTAAAAAATAGTGGTACTATTAAGCTGTCTATTCAGAGAAAATTGATTTTACGGCAGACAAGTTGTACAACAGGACAATTTTCTGGTAGAGAGATTAAAGTCTATAGATTTCAAGTTGTTCATTGGTAGTGAATGGCTTTTCAAACTTAGTCAAGCATGTTGGCAATTTTATGTCATTTCAACCCTGTTTTCATATTTTTAGTTTTGCACAATATTTTCAAAGAATTTTTGATTTAAGTGAGATGAGTTTTAATTATGCACAACCTTTTTTTCTGCACCATTTAAATTCCCATGCCTTTCTGTGTTATTTATGGCTCAACTACCACTATGAAAATCCAATGGCATTTTTCAATTGTCCTTTTTTCATTTTTCACCTCAAAAATGATTTATTTGGCTGTTGTACATTTGTACAGAATAATCTCTAGTAAATCGTTATGTCTATGTCAAATATGTTGGTTTTTTGTGGTGAAACTTTGAGTAAGGTTGAAATGTATACCCTAAATTATTCAAAACATCATCTGTGTCATTATATGGTACATTTTAAATCAAAATGAGAAAATAGGCAAAATAAGAAAAAAGTTTTCTTTCCTAGGCATATTGAAGTTGGACGAGCTAATAAACTATTTTTGTTTGATAATTGACATGCATGTATTACTTAGTATTCTAAGTCTATATGATTACTTGACAATTAATTAATGGACAAGCTAGTGCATTTACTGCGTAAATGATCGACTCTTTTCTTTGATAGTTAAAATTCGTATTTTACTTAGTATTCCAAGTTTATATGATTAATTGCTTTTATTAAAGAGACAGTTTGGATTTATTTTACAACCATGTAACTTTTCTCTGTTTCATGTTCGATTGCAGACTGACTGTAATCTGGTTGAGGGGTCATTTGTGCTCATTTTTAGCATGGTTTGCCATTGTATGAGCCTGCCCAGTAGTAGTAGTACGAATTGTTTCTTTAGCTGACTTCATCATTGACGTTGTTTCATTTCAGTGCAAGATGAGATGTAATAGTGTGCATAATGATAGTCAAACCCGCTTTAGTGACCACCTGTCTACAAAGACCACCTGTCTACAAAGGCTACATTTTTAGTTTCCCTTGAAAACGGTTTCTCATTGAATCATATACTAAAGGAACCTGTCTACAAAGACCACCTGTCTACAAAGGCCACTTTTTGTGTTTCCCTTGGGTGGTCACTACAGACAGGTTTGACTGTATCTGTAAAGTGTGCTCCTGTATAAAATGGTGTATACCTTGTTTAGTTCTGCTTTCTTATGTTAAAGGGAGTGTAGCCTGATGGGACTACATGAACGTGTCTTTCCCGTAGCCTGACCCGGGTCAATCGGGTATAAATGACTACAGACAACGCGACCGCAGCAATCACATTCGTGCAACATACATGAAAACAAAGCATGAGGAGAACTTCGGTCTGTTTTGCGATCGCTGACCATGTAGAGATTAAGTCGCTGACTACCGTTAATCAAGTCAATTTGTTTACATGCAGTTGTCCAAAAAAAGACATACAGTAGATGACGTTAACCAGTATTTGTCAAGCTACACTCCCTTTAAGGACCATTCAACATGACATGATTACAAAATTATAGTTAAAACAATTTTGTAATTAAATTTATTTTTTTAAACTGCGATTTCAAGAAATTCTATCTATCAATGCTAGGAAGCATTTTATTTAACAAGTTTTTTCTTCACAGATACTTTCTGAAATGCACCTAATTTGCAGTTCCGAGTAGAAATGAAAGTGTGGTTGAATTATGAGTAAATATATCTGCTTTATAAAAAAAACATATTGTAAGGTGTCAGGCAAGAAAATATTTATAAAATAGAAATTTGCCTCTTTTGAATCTTTTCGTTATTCTTTCCTATTGCATATTTAGTGGACTTTGGATAGAAGTGAAACTTTCCTACGATTTGCATTTTTGAGAGAGATGTTTCACCTGTCTATGTCATTCCTTTTTTTTAAGTTTATGGGTATTGCAATGTATTCTAACAGGTATATATGTCTACATCAGTGCTGACATGTTTGTTTTTAAAATGTAATAATCTTGTTTTATTACTGTTTTGAATAGTTTAAGGTACACAAGTCTTTCAAAAGTTTGTGGGTTGAAATTTGTTCTGATCTCTGCAATTGTACATATCAGTTGACAACAATATACACTGCATGCATTTCAGTATATTGTAAACTGGTACAGAATTCAGAAATTTTAGCATTTTTGAGAAATCTGTTACCAGAATGTTAGAGAATTCTCTTAAACTTGGTACATGTATGTGCAATGTTTTTGTAATATATGTTTTGTTGTTTCTTCTTTTTTTTTTGTCTACAGATGGAGGATGATGTCACAAATGGAGGTAGTGTCATTGCTATGGCAACCGTGGTCCAAGCAGGAGCCGAATCAGATGACAATTTGGTAAGTAACTGATTAGGATGACCTCATTTCAGAAAGGAAACAATTGTTTGTCAATTACCAGGAAAGACAGAAAATGCAATTTTGAATAATTTTTTGTTATTTTACCTTCATTTGGGCTTCATAAATTTTACTGCAACATATAATTACAGTCAAATCTGCTTTAGCGACCACCTGTATCACAAGACCACCTGTCTATAAAGACCATATTTTTGTTCCCCTTGAATATGGTTTCTCATCAAACCTGTACTAAAAGAACCTGTACATAAAGACCACCAGCCTATAAAAAGACCACTTTCCATGTTTCTCTTGAGTGGTCTTTATGTATGGGTTTTAATCGCAGTTCAAAATTATGTTTCATTGCTTTCTCTTTAAATGAAGCCTCACTGTCATACTCAAAGTTCTCCCAACCATTTTTGAATTTTCCCAACTGTTTTTCCATGAAAGTAAGACGTAAAACAGGCTCTTAAAAATCGCTTAACACTTAAATGTCTGCAATGGTATATAGAGCCAATTCATTGCCTTGTGACGTTTTACATGTACCTAAAATGTAATTACATTGTAATAATATAGTTGGGAGAATTAACTAAGCGATCAGATCAGTTTTTCTCAATTTTTATCACTAATAATGGTCTGTTTTCACTCAAACTTTCAGATTTTCTTTAATTGTACATCTAGCATTGAATTCACTACCTTAGCACCATTTTCTCTCATCTGAACAATGTTACTTAGTCCCTTAAATCATGAGATTTTTTCTTTCTTTTAATTCCTGTAGGATGCGACTGAAGAAGGCCGGGAAGTTGACGGAGAAAGCGACAGTGAATCAGAAGATGAGTTTGGATACACTTGGAGTAAGTCTCAATCACTTTTGCTATTTAGTTTACATGATTAACATGTTGACTCTTGAATTCTCTCATTCCCATAGGCATTGTACATGGACCATCCGATTCAAATAGGCAATGGCTTAGTAAACTAAAAATGATATATGAACTGAAGAAACTTCATGCATATTTAGGTTATCAACTCTACTTGGTTATAATGAACATGACGTTTTCAATAAGAACTGAAGAATTGGAGAAACTTCAGGCATAACATTATCAAATGTATTTGGTTATAATGAACATGATTGCTTCATATGCCAATGAGAACCGAAGAAACTTCATGATACTTTTCATTTTAAAAAATTCGCCAGCATTTCAGGTACATTGATTGCATTCTCACAATTTAGGTTGTTCAGTAAGAACTTCAAAATGCTATAATCTGCATCAAAGAAAGTGTATAAAAACCTCATTCAAGTACCAACTTAAGCTACATTTGAGCAAGTCTCAGACCTTTCTCATGCTAGTATAACCTCCAAATGCCATGTCCAAACTGCCTAAAATCGAATGATCAATACATAGTTATATTTTTTATTTTTTTAATTTTTTTCTTCAGAGAAATTGAGTCAGAGATACAGTGACCTAGACGGAGAGTTGCATGCGATTGAGCTGAACAAAGGAGACAGAGGATTGGGCCTTAGGTAAATAATTAATTTCTGGACTGGTATTCTGAAAATAATGTTATCTTTTATGTTTGTAAAATGCTGTTAATCATCGTAACAAAGCAAAATAAGGACAAGTCATTGATTAAGGTCTGCACCAAGCTGGCTGCATTTGCATTGAGAGATATCTGCACAAGCACCTGTTATAAGGGATAGTTCCGTGCAATTTCAGTCTTTTTTTTTGACAATTGGTATCATTTTCCTCCCATAAAAGATGAAATCGTTTTCAGAATATGGCCCCTGGTGGTTTAGGGTGAGTTGGGGTAGATTGCTGTCTTCCATAATTTTGCATTTTGTTGTTATCGTGATAATTGTGAAATTTCTATTTTGCTTCTCACAAAGTATTTGAAAAAAGGCTTTGTATCACACCTGTGTTAGATGAGTGGTCTTTTTGCTGCTTTATTGAAAAACATCTTTAATAAATGTTTGTGCAAAAACAGTAAAGACAAAAAGAGTACCGTAATAGTAATAATGGTATAATGATAGTTGATTCTAGTATAGCACTAATACCCATCTTATATGGTGCTCGAGCATCCAAGGAATGGCCTAGTACTGATGAAAAATAGCATTCAGACAGAGAAGGGACTACTTCTGGATCACTTAAAAGATGCTCATTACAAGTATTCTAAAAACTATTGGCAAAATTAAACATAACAACCTACCTTGAAATAATAAGATATTTCAAAGTCATTACCACGTACCGGTAGATTATTTCATTATAGATATTTTATTATAGATATAATAATTTACTAAATATATCAATTAGTAGGCGGTTTCCCAGTAACATTTGTATCATCACGTAATAGTCAAAACATATTCTTTCACATGATTGGTAATAAGAGCTTCCATTTCATTTTTTGAGAGGGGGGCGTTTCCAAAACTGGTCTTTACCTTTGAAATGATAATCAGTATTGAATTGCTATTCATCTTTTGTCGGGCAGTCTTGCTGGAAACAAGGACAGGAGTAAGACCAGTGTGTTTGTGGTTGGAGTCAACCCTGCAGGAGCGGCCGGTAAAGATGGAAGGATACTCATCGGAGACGAGGTCTTGGAGGTAAGATGATAGAGGTGGCCGGTGGTGGTGGTGGTGATGATGATTATGATGATGATGATGATGATGATGATGTTGATGATGATGATGATGATGATGATGATGATGTTTATGATGATGATGATGATGGTGATGGTGATGATGATGTTTATGATGATGATGTTGATGATGATGATGTTGATGATGATTGTGATGATGATGTTGATGATGATGATGATGTTGATGATGATTGTGATGATGATGATGATGATGATGATGTTGATGATGATGATGATGATGATGGTGATGGTGATGATGATGATGATGTTTATGATGATGATGTTGATGATGATTGTGATGATGATGATGATGATGTTGATGATGATGATGATGATGATGGTGATGGTGATGATGATGATGATGTTTATGATGATGATGTTGATGATGATGATGTTGATGATGATTGTGATGATGATGATGATGATGATGGTGATGATGATGATGATGTTTATGATGATGATGATGATGATGGTGATGGTGATGGTGATGATGATGATGATGGTGATGTTGATGATGATGATGATGATGATGATGATGTTTATGATGATGATGATGATGATGTTGATGATGATGATGGTGATGGTGATGATGGTGATGATGATGATGATGATGTTGAGGAGGGGGAGGAGGGAGGGGGAGGGGGAGGAGGAGGAGGAGGATGTTACCATGGTAATGCTGTTGAATGTTCTGGAACAGTTGTCAATGATTGAAAGATATTTAATGGAGATGAGTAGTGAATGTAAGATGGTAATAGTGGTACAAGGATAGGTCATGATGTGAAAAAGTAGAAGTTGAAGCCACATGCTCCCTTACTGAATATATTCAATCATATTGAGTGAGACAAGATGGCTCAGTGGTCCAACCAACCAACTTTGAATGCTGATCATCTCAATTGTAAATTATTAAAGTGACTGGGTAACATTGCCTCAGATTCTGAAACAAACTCCTGGATTTAGCTCATGCTGCAATCATAATTAGAAACCTGTAGGTCAGTCAGGAATCCCATGACTTTTACAAGCCGATCGCCTGATTGGAAATCGAAATTTCACTTTTTGTTTTCATAATGGTTTTTATAACACTACAGTCTATTGGGGAAAATGAGTATAGCTCAAATTTTTTACTTTTTTGAGGCACTTCATTATCACTTTGGAGTGCAATTTTTTTAGGGCTTTAATATCACAGACACTGATAGCACGTAGAGCCATGGATCTCTAATTTAAAATTGTTAAACGATGCCTTTAAACACCATCCCATCCTTACTCTTTTCACCCCAGATCAATGGAATCAAGGTGTTTGGCCACTCCCATCAGAACGCATCCAGCATCATCGGTGGTCTTGCTCCTGGTCTGGCCAAGGTGGTCATCCTTAGAAACCAGGAGTTCCTGAATCAGCTTGCTGTACCACCAGTCATCTACCCCAATCAGGTAATGTACATAGTAATTGTCCCTCAGATAGGATGTCAAATAAGAGGAACACAGACATAATAATAATATTCCGCTTTTATATAGCGCCTACAATGTCTCTAAGCACTTTACAGATATACTATTACCCCGGTCATTGGATTCAATACTTGCCCGCAAACACACTGTGTGCACAATCTCCACTCCCTGGGGAGCATTCCAGCCAGGTATCCATGTATCATTCATCAGTGTTAGTATGCTTGGAGAGTAAAGAAATGCAGTCAGATGTTATGAAGTTCTTGTACATTCAATATATGTCATACAATTTTTGAAGTCTGCTGCACTTCTTGTAGCTACTTGCGCCCTCTATATAGAAAAAAATGCCTAAGCAGTACCTGTTGGTCCCCCATGGTTCTCCTTTTCTTATGTTAATTGAGAGCTGATTTGATGAGATAACCACCTGTCAGTGACCATGCGGGGAGGTCTAATCTCTCCTGGCCATACTAGTGCAGACAGACATTAAGGAAATTTTGAGTCCCTTTCAACTTGTTTGTCATTTCTACTCGCCACAGAGACACCATTGTGAGAATAACAATAATAATAGTAGAAATATATATTACTGATTGAAGCACAAGCTACGAAAGTTAAATTTGTGAGACTTATGGTCTTAGAGCAAGAGCCCAGCAGAGGCAGGCACTAAGTTATCATCATCACCATACATGTAAAGTTTGCATTTTCAATGTAAGATACTGAACTATTTACTTTATAAAGGTTTCACCTCCAAAAATAAGCTTTACTTTCCTCTGATTTATTAATCATTTATTAACATGTACAATTTTTTTTCTATCACCCCAAAATGCTACAGACATCACTACCAACCATCCTGAAGAAGCAAGAAGCCGTCGATGAGGCTGAGGCTCCCGCCCCTGCTGTTCCAGAACCAGAACCCGAGATGCCCCTCCCAACCCCTGCAGACTACCCCAACACAAAGAACATCACTCTCCAGAAAGGCCCCCGGGGCTGGGCTTCGCCATCTATGAGAATGAGGATGAGAAGGGGTTGTCCGGCATCTTTGTGAAGGATGTAACGATGGGAGGACCAGCTGCGACGGTGAGTGGATGTTGGGGGTTCCATGGGGATGGATGGTTATACTTCTGGTGGAAATGTGTTTTGGCATTGGATACTACAGATTGTGGTATGGGGATAGTGGTTCAATTCATGCTGATGGTAGTGGTGATAGTGGTATTAGTGATGATGATGATGATGACGACAATGATGGTGAGAGAATATTTTCAGAACATCACTTTCTAGAAAGGCCCCCAGGGGGATTGTGCTAAGAATTATGATGAGAAAGAGTTGTTTTGCACCTTTTTGAATGATGTTACAATGCGAGGACCAAGGGTGATGGTGATAATGGTGGTGTTTGCATTGACAGTGGTTCTACAGATTGTAGTATGCTGGGTAGTGGTTTATTTCATGGTGATGGTAATAAATAATGATTGGGATGATGTATGTCCAATCTTATAAAGACTAAAGAAAAGGAAATTTTTAGTAATCCTTCGGTACACAACGAATGGGAGTGGAAAAAAACACACAAGACATAGTATTGGTGATCTTTCTTTTTTTAAATATACAGGTCACTTGTGAGATTGATCTTGCAGATATATCTATCAGATTGGTCAATATCTACAAAATTTGAAAGAAAATTGCCATACGTTGGCAGTTTGATCTCCCCATTGGCATTATGTGTATCGACAGCATATCAGAATCATAACTAATATGACCCTAACTTGACCCCTGAACTATGACCACATTCCATCTCTCACCCCCTACAGGAGGGCAATCTAAAGGTCGGTGACCAGATCCTCGCGGTCAACGACAAATCGGTCATCGGTCTCTCCAAGCTTAGCGCCATCAGCGTCTTAAAGGACACCAAGGGATCTGTCGCTCTCACTGTCGGGGCCGCTAAACCTGTCGCATCGCCAAAACCCCAGCCAAAGAGCCTCTTCCCCACATTGGATGCTGGAGGTGGGTTCGAGGGGGGCGTCTCCATCACAGCGTCAGCCCAGTCTGACGTGTTTGCTGGAGCACCGATCAAAAGTCAAATCGGACACGGCAGTAAGTCAATATACTGATTGCATTTTGTTTTATTTCCCTACACCATGACATAATAAGCGAGTTCGTAATTAGGATTTGCGCATGGGCAGATAAAGGTCATTCGTACCTAAATTGTAAAACCATTGAGATGAATACTCGGATCGTGCTCATGAAAGTTATGTAATCAGTATTCATTTATGCACCAACAGTACATTTATCTGATACACAGGTGGAAATATTCTTCTCAAGAGGCAAACAAAAGGTATTCATGAAGCACCTCCATCACTTTGGCAGTGAATATTCTAAAATGCACAGGTGGGATGTATCCATCGTGTTTAAGATCTGTGGATATTTTGGGGTCATGCGGTGCAGAGCTATTTACGAACTCGCTTATTGCTTGAGGCCATCTAGTTCTGCTAACAATACGTTCAGCCTTGCATTACTCCTAATTTCATCAATTCATCCATCTTTTATTTATTCATCATTGAGGGTCCGTTTGTGAAGGCTACTGGGATTACACTTGTTAACACGACACATACAGATTTTGCATGTACTGTTTTTAGCCTTGTAACACAGATATAAACATATAAGTATTTATTATAGCTCAATTACCATATTTTATATTATACAAATAACCACTCTTTCTAAATATATGCATATATATTTACCTTAAATCTTTTACACTGGGCCTCGTGCTTAGTTGTATAATAGAAAGGTTTTTTTTATTGCTAATCATATCCCATCTTATGAATATTGTTAAAAGTTCATAGGCAAATGTTATCAGCAATATTGTTGGCATGTTAATTAGACCATTTAAATATTTGAGATGGTTTAGTACTAAGTTCAATGTGAAGCTTTTGATTTAAAAATTATTCTCGCCAATTGGTCATGTAGAAGCATCCAACCTGGAATTGGCATAACTTTTTCATTGAGAGTTGCAAATTTCAATGTTTAGTGGTCATTTTTAATGGACTACACAAAATTACCTTGGCAACATAAGTAGGACTTTAAGCGGTTAGTTGCACCCAAGCATGTGCTAATTTCAAGTCCTTATAACTTACCGACAACTTTCTTGGGATGCATCCTCTGGATCTAGCTATGTCATCGTTCATCTTACTCCGATAAGAGTCTAATTCGGTTATTAACCCTCATTGATAATATTGGCATACAAATCTAGGGGGTGTTTCACAAAGATCCTAAGTCGAACTTTAACATTATTGAGAGCCATTTGCAGCCTTAAGATAAAATATATTCAAAAGCAAAAATTCAAGTATTTTAGACTTTACATAATTCCATATCAAGAACATGAAATAATAGATAATAGAAAAGACGAATGATTTGAATCAACATGTTATGCCTTTTAAAATAACTTTTACAAAATATTTTTAAAGATGCTTTCGGCTTTCCATAATTGTTAAGTCCAACGTAGAGATAAGTTCAACTTGAGATCTTTGTGAAACACCCCCCTGGGGGCTTTCTTGTTGATCCTTTTCTTAACCTCATTATATATATATATATATACCGGTATATGCGTGTGTCTTTTATCTACCCCCCTCCGAACCCTCTTGGTGTTTCTGAAGACTTCTTCCCAGCTCTAGACATTGATGAAGAGTCGAGCACTTTTCTTGCCACCTCTAGCATAAGCTATCAAGCTGTTGGGGACACAGAGAGTAAGTAGTAGGGATGTGTGTGTGGTCTTTCCTGTTTTTCTTCATCAATCTCCTCTTAAAGGGGCTTGGTAACATTGTTCACATGAGAGAACATAGTGCTAAAGTAGTAACTTCAATGCTAGATGTACAATTAAAAAGGACCTCAAAGTTTGAATGAAAACAAACCATTATTAATTATAAAAATTAGGGAAAACTGATCTGATCTATTCCACAATTCTTTTTTCTTCAGCAAAACATCTTGATCATGAAAAAAAGGGAAATACAGAGTAACCGTAATTTTTTTTGGATCAAGAACAATATACAGAGCCCTAAAACTTGATATCAATAACTAGTTTCAGTATTAAACTCAGTGTTATAAGCTACTGAAATCAGAGCATGTCATTGGCTGAGAGGTGATTTGTCATAAAATTTGAACATTTGTTACTGATTAGGAGATTTATAAAAACAGGGTCCTGTTCCATTAAACTTGATATCAATAACAAGTTACCATGACTGTCATAAGCTGCTCAAACTGTTGAATTTGATTGGCTGAGAGCAAATTAGTACTCGTTTGTGTAAATTTGTATTGACAAGTTTTATGAAACGGCTCTGGACTTTATACAAGGAATTCACATTTTTGGGTCATCGTACCTCTCTGTCTCAAGCTTTTTCAGGCTTCCAGGTTTCTTTTCAAATTAATTTTGGATTAATGGAATATAACCAACTGGTATTTCTGTATACAAACTTTTAAAGTCTGTATGCATCTGCCCTTAGTAAAACTCTTGAGATTTTAGGGGTTTAGACTTAGATTTCAGGAACCCATTTGTCCCGGGCCCCTCAAGCCCTGCCTGCATACATAGGTATGTAACATTGAAATGTAAAACATATATGAAGTATATATGTAGTTGTTTTTTTAAACCCATGACAAGGGTAAGCTTGTCGATATCAATATTTTCTTGAATTTAGTATTAAAAAATTCAGTGAAATGGAATAAAGCCCTAGTTTTTTAATGTGCCAAATTATGGGGATAAAATATGTTATGGCTGGCTAAACCTGTTTTTTTCTGGCCAATAGTATTTTATGTTATTGTTATTAAACATGTCCTGTTTTGATAACATTTCATTTGCTTTAATTAATGATTAACTTCAGTTAACAGAGTTTGTTAAACAAAATGCAATAAACAAATTTAATTCATTGTATACATGTATTTATGCCTATTTTGTCTATCATTCTGTTATGTCTATAACATAAACATACATGTAACATAGACATTGTGTTGTGTCTGTATTACATAGATGCTCTGTTATGTCTATATTATATAGACTCTGTTTCTACCATTCTCTCTACCCTCAGTTTATTATCTGTTCTCATGCCCCATATCTCCTTTTCTTTTATATTTTCGCATTTCCCTTTGCTTTCTCCCCCCCCCCCCCCCCCCCCTCTCTCTCTCTCTCTCTCTCTTTCTCTGAAATATCCCTTCTCTCTCTGTTTTCCAGTTTATACTTTAAAGGGACTTTGTAACATTGTTCAGATGAGAGATAGTGGCGCTAAGGTAGTGACTTCAATGCTAGATGTACAATTAAAGATAATCTGAAAATTTGAGTGAAAACGAATCATTATTCATGGTACAAATTGGGAAAAACTGATCTGATCGATTCCTTAATTCTCCCAACTATATTATTCTACTTCTATTATGCTACTTGTCAAAGCCTGTTCAGCATCAAGACAAGGACAATTTAATTACATTTTAGGTGAATGTTAAATCGTCACAAAGCAATAAAATGGCTCTACATTCCATTCCAGACAGTTAAGTGTTGACAGATTTTTATAGCCTGTTTTATATATTTTTCTCATGGAAAAACGGTTGGGGAAATTCAAAAATGGTTGGGAGAATTTACTGTTAATCACTATTAGAAGGTGCCTCACTTCGAGGCCTTCACAGAAAACCATAGATATCTTTGTGGTTTGAGAATTTGTTCAGGATTTTTTGCATGTCAGAGGGTTAGTATAGCAAAAGGAATATAGTAAGTAACATTTTATACAAAAATTAAGCAATTTTTTTCATCAACCTTCAACAATGTTACCGAGTCACTTTAATGTTCTTTTCCATGACCACCCTTTTTTTCTTCTCTTTTACTCTTTCTCATGTTCAACATCTCTCCTTCTTTTCCTGAATTTCTTTCTATTTCTCTCTCAACCTATATATTATACCGTTCATTAAACCAATGCATCATCCTTTTCATCATTTTACATATCAATATCAGTTGCATGTTTATCCATTTAATATCACTCTTAGGCACTCTTTAATATTAAGCACTTTTTTTAAGATTCATTATATTTAAAATACTAACATCCAATGCGTGTTTCTTTATTAACATCAAGCCATCTTTCCCCCATTGGATGACTTAGAGGTGACCAGGTTTTCATCTTCTAATTCAAGCTTTGACTCTACTAACAATCTAGACAGTAAGTTGGTGAAAAGGAACATCCCTACATTGCTAATCTCTGTTTTTAAGATCATGATTAACACCTTAACTTGTTTAATGGGTTTATATATATATAATTCCTTGAAATGCTAGAGCGCTGTAATGGCAGCTATGCTAAAGCCGAGGTAATAATTGATGTGCCTCGGAATAGAATTTCTAGATAGACGGCGCTATAGAAATGCCTATAATTATTATTATTATTATAGTGGATTCATGTATAGCCCTCATGAATGTCAGGTGTGACACTCCTGGCCTTAGCATGGCTGCCATTATGGCATTTCAAGGAATATATTCCTGTAATACCTCACCTGGATGGAGTGTGGCAAATGTAAAATAATGTCTTAGCAAAGGGCATTAGTGCCATGGCGTGACTTGAATTGTGATATCTACCAGACCACGACACCTCTCTGATAAGTCCAATTAACTTCATCCCTGGACCCAAATCCATTCCTAACCCTAATCTAAAACCGCATTACTAAGCCAGCCATGTTTCTATTTCTTTGATGAATTTTCAATCTGGAACAAATGCCAAGTGGAGGTGAATTTTTGGTTGAATAAGATTCTTGATAAGGCTTGACAGATTTCCTATTACAAAAGTAAAACCCGATTTCTTTTTATTAAGTCTTTATTGAAAGAAATAAAATTTCATCCAAATTAATTTTTTCATCTGCTATATTATAAGCAAATGAAAATTTCATTTTGATTTCTTTTAATTT